TACAGATCACGAGTCTGAGACTCGTGATCTGATTGGCTATTGAAACCTGACGGTGCCCGTTCATTTACAGCGCACAGGGGCCTGCTCTGTTCAATCTGAAGGCCCCGAGCAAGTTTAATTTTCCTGGCAACACAAGCTAGCTGAAATATGATTGGTTAAAAACGCTACCATAATAAATAAGTTATTTTTCGAGTGTTATTTAAAATAACATTGAAAGCCACTCAACTAAGTGGAAATAATATGACGTAAAGAATACAGAGAATAATTTTGTTAACATATTTCTGAAAATAAAATAACAAATTTATGTTATTCTCAGAAACTTTTCTGAGAATGTTTAGGCCAGCAGAGAAGGCCTTGCTGGCCCTCAGGATCCGCCACTGGGAGTGAATCTTATTTGATCGAAATTGGAATGGATTGTGTTGGGTTTACCTGGTGCTTTAAAGAGGGGCGGGGCTGCCACTGACAGGTGACCGTTTGCTCGACGTATAAAAAGCGGCATTGCAGTTTGTTTCGTTTGATAAAACACTCACTTCGTCGTCAGTATGTCCCAATGGTTGTGTCCGCTTTTCTTTATCAGATATGTAGTTATCCTTCAGATTCAATCGTGCACGCTCGCTTTGTTTGTTTGCTTTGTCATGGGTCCGTTGTGCTTTACGTTTGCCGCATCGCAATCACAGTCAGTTACTGTTCGCAATATTTAGGGTTTTTTTTTGTTTGTTTTTTTAAAGTTGTCATGTTTGTCCGGTTGCACTGGAATGTTTAAACTGAGTAATTTGCGTTACGGCTGGAGTTCATCATGCCGGCGCTCCACTTCCGGGTTTGACCGCTGGGACTTGTAGTACTTCAGTTTGATTCCGCTTGGTATGTTTCTGTTTTATGATTTCTTCGTTTAGACTATGAATAATGATGACGATAATAATGCATAGTGTAAAATCATGGTTGATTAAATTATTTATTAAAATTATTGTGAAGATGAAGGTATTAAATTAATTAATGTCAATTATATACATTTATATTATGATGCATAAAGATAGATATATTCATTTTGTTGCATTTATGTGTACTTTAGGTTATTACCTGCTGCTGCTTCTGTTGCTGCTGCTTCAATAAATGATCAAAAAAAGTACAAAGCGAGTAATCCTTCCATGCTGATTGACGATCCCTATTCAGAGGGCCGTGGAAAAACGGGATTAATTGAACAGATTGCATCAGGTCATATATTGGAGTGAATCGCGTAATTCTTTTGGGCGCGGGGAGGGGGGGTGAGCGGTGAATCGCATGATAGCGTAATTGGAATGACTTTGATTGCATCACACGAAAAACAGCGAATTGTATTGTATTGGATCATAAATGGAGCGAATCGTATCACATAAGAATTGGAATGAATTGTATCAAGTGATAAATGGAGTGAATTATATTGAATCAGAATTGGAATGAATCATCACATTGCACCGGAAATGGCGTGAAGGCTATCAAATCTTGTTGTGTACAGTGGACTGTACTGTATAGTATTTGGGATAAATCGAGTTGGATCGGAATTGGCGTCAATCATATTGAATCGCATTGGGTTGGCGTGAATCATATTTTATCGAAATTAGAGTGAACCATATCATACTGTGTTGTACTTGCAGTGAACCAAACCACGTAAATTGAGTTAATTGTATTGCAGTAAGGCATTGTAATTGGAATAGGTTGTTTCGCGTGACATCATAAACGGAGTGAATTTTAATGTACCAAAACGTAATTGTAATGAGCCGTGGCAACACTTTGGACACACGCTGGGTGCCGGATTTGGATGCTTGCAGTTCTTCTTTCTTCCAGTAGGTGGCACCATCACCTCTATGTATCTTTTTTTTTTTTTTTTTTTTTTTTTTGCGCAAGCCCGCGGTGACTTTTTACTCTGCTACTTTTTGTGTGCCTGTGTCATGTCTACAGAGAGGTTGAGAGCTGATGGACGTGAAAAAGAAGGAAAAGAAGAACGCGGAGCCGTTCAGCCGCTCGGAGGTTTTCAGCCAGCTCAGGAGGGAACTCCACGGACAGTTGCAGTCCGATCGTTCCAACATCTTCATCATCCTGGGAGCCTCGGTCAGTCCAATTTACTTAGTCAACCTAGTTAATCTTATTTGATGAATGTTACTTATTCACTGGCTGTTGGCCATTGGCGATTCTGCACTCAACAATGTCGGAAAGGGACTTGTATCGATTAGATTGGCTTCGGCATATAAAGCTCTTGTGCTGCAAAATTAAAAATTGACTTGTTAGTATGCATCAAGTCACATGCACATGTATTTACTTGCAAATGGAATGTGTTCAAAGTCTGCCGGTTTCTCTCTCTCTCTCTCTCTCTCTCTCCCTCCCTCCCCAACTGCCCTTTGGACCCCACATTCATACTTCACTCGACAGCTATTATCATTTTGGCATCAGAATTAGAATCAGCTCAACTGGCATTGCACAGAAAAGTCAAAAACGGCACAACAAAATATCCTTGTACAGCTCAGTGTCCAATGTCCACGCTTTTTCACACATACACATGGACACAGCCACACACAATGTGGTCTTAAATACAGTCATACCGAAAATACTCATGTCAACAAATAATACCTACAATGAATAATTTTTCAATAACTAATGCCCCCCAAATTAAAACCTACATGTATCTGAAGTAGCAACATCATGTATTACATTAATAAGATAAAACCATATCAAAAACATATGTTGTGAATGGTTTTGTTGTCCAAACAACAAAATGTTCAAGAAATACAGAATTTGAAAGTTGAAATGACAATGAAAAGATAGACGTTAAAACAAATACCATTAGGGGGTCTTGTAAAATGTGTATATGTGATGTGTTTTGGCTTCTTCTGGTTTGGTCAAAAATGGCGATTTTGAGATTTTTCCAAAAATGATCCCGTAGGGAGATCTTGCCAAAAAGAAGATCTACTCAACTTTATGGTGAGTCTAATTTAAAAATAAAAAAACAAATCCTTTGATGAAAAGCTTCATTTGTTGAAGTTAAGTGTGTTCTCTTGACTTAGGTGGTTGTTCCGAGATGGCCTGCTTCCAGAGGACAGCTACTTTGTGGGCTTTGCCCGCTCTAATTTGACGGTGGAGGACATCAAGGTGGCTTGTCTGCCTTACATGAAGGTAGCCGTTGTTGTTTTTACTGGTATTTTCCATCTCTTTTAATCATTACACTTAACCTGGCAACCCACCCAGTAAATATGCCACGATGCGGAGTGCAGAGGCCACCAAATGAAATACATTGAGGGAGCTCCAAAGATTTTTACATTTGGTTTTGGAAACCATGCTTGTGCTCAAATTTGGAAAAAGCCAACGGTGACATGCAAGGCTTCTAACTCTAAGATGAGAGATACCACAACTTTTATCTGTCACTGTAATACACAAAATCAAGGGTCACGTCATTGTTGAGCTCACAAATAGCTGGTCAAACATGAACTAAGCTTCATGCAAGTTATAAGTTTTACTAAGAAGACAAAGTAATAAAACAGTGCAGAGAATGACTCTTAAAAAATGTGATTATTAATGTGCTAGGTAGACTTGTATGCATTGACGCCGCCTTGTTGACTTGTTGACATTCATTAAGTCTCTTATTAACGCAGTCTAATTACAGTAATATATTTTGGAAACAGAAAAAGCAATTACTTGTTCCTTGTCCTCAGGTGACTGATGGCGAAGGTGAGCGACTATCCACCTTCTTCAGCAGGAACTCGTACCAGAGCGGTCGCTACGACGACGCCGGTTCTTTCCGCAAGCTTGATGCTCATGTGTCCTCTCTGCCTGGCGGAGCCGAGGCCAACCGGCTCTTCTACCTGGCGTTGCCTCCCACCGTCTACCACCATGTCTGCACAAACATCAGCGACCACTGCATGAGCCCCAAGTCAGTATGCGCGCACGCACGGCACCCCCCCCCCCACACACACACACACAATAAATCTATTGTCATGTTATTCCACGCCAAGACGATTGATTGATTGATTTTCTCAAACCATTTAAACTTCAAAAGATACAAAGAATATCAAAATGGAAGTGTACACTTTTCCCAGAATTCTTTGTTTTTCCAGACACTCACAAAAAAAAAAAAAAAACATTCACGTGAATCAGGCATTCATCAACAAAGTACAACATCATTCCAATTCAAAATTTGAACTTCTCAGCTCTTTAGTACATCTTGGCAACTATATTCCACATTCTTAAAATTCTATGCATTGCACACCAAAATTAAAAAGTTCCAGTCATATTTGACCTGCGTACTTTCACATTTCTGGAGTCGGACCGAGTCGAAACTTTCCAACTTAAAGTTTCTTGTTGTACGTTTCAGCAATTCGATGAATTATAAAACTCCAAAAATTTCTTCACAAATTCCTTTCTATAGTTTGTTCATCACTTTCCATTAAAAAAAAACTGCATCACAATATGTAACTTTTCCTCATTCATTCATTTCCATTTTTTTAGAAACTTTTACCCCATCTTGAACCTTCTTCAAATTCCACAGAAATAAGAGAAACAAATTAGGTTTTGTATACACATAATGTGATTAGTGACAATAAGTGCCACTTTTTGGGAAAACAATGTGATGAGAATGTAACAATAATGTGGAAAAAGTGGCTGAATTAAGCGACCAAATGGCTAAGTTGTCAAACTGCTTATGCGTATATAAAATAGCTCCACTCCTTCCACAGCCATGTTTTTTTGTGTAAGCGGTGCACATTGGCAAGGATGCATTTCGCATGACAGAAACCACTTTCAAATAACTGAAAAAAAAAAAAAATCATCCTGAGAAATTAACCCTTTCGGAGACGGTGGTTACTACAGTGGACAGCTTATCATGTTATCCGGTTACAGGGTGCAGGAAAGGGTTAAATAGAATGCGTGCCTAAAATCACTGACTCGCTCCGCCCAACCAAGTGGTAAGCCTTCATTTCCCCAGCAGAGGTTGGAACCGGCTCATCGTTGAGAAGCCTTTCGGACGTGACCTGCAGAGCTCGCAGGAGTTGTCCACACACATGGCCTCGCTCTTTGCAGAGAAACAGATCTACCGCATTGACCACTACCTGGGCAAAGAGATGGTCCAGAACCTCATGGTGCTTAGGTAGCATGCACGCAACTCACACAAACACACACCTGGACATCACGGTCCCGTCCCACCACCTGCGTCTAACACCTTAATCCTTCATTTTTGAAAAATAAATATTTTTTTTTTTTTTACAAATTCAAGATATAAAAAAGCGTATTTATGAAAACCAGAAAAAGTAAATAACATTTCAAGAGATAAGTATACTTTTTTTTAGACTTCTTGAAAAGTTTCTGTAGCACGTGATCCCATTACATTGTGAACTGTTTGACAAAATAATGCGACAATTATCTGATGATCACCAAGCAAAAACATACACCCTGGCCTACATGTACTGCATGTGATTTTTTTTTCCAGATTAGATGGATTAGAACACAGTTGAGGTTTAAATTTTGATAGCATAAAAGTCAACGATGCTAGCTAGCTGTTAAATGTCAACAGGTATCAGGTAACTTGACTTCTTCCTCTTCTTACGAGTACTATGTAATTTGATTACGGGGAAATTATATGGTGTGCAGAGAATTTTTGTCTTCATTGTGCCAAGTTATCAAAACAGGTCTAGAAATAAATGCCAGTCTTTTTTTTCCAAACAAGTGTTTGTGTACGCGTAAGTACAGAGCGGGAGGACTTCTGAGCTACACCGTTGTGCACACTTTCATTTCTTCCTCCTTCTAGATTTGGCAATCGCATTTTCGGACCAATTTGGAACAGGAACAACGTGTCATGTGTGGTGCTAACCTTCAAGGAACCTTTCGGGACATATGGCCGCGGAGGATACTTTGATGACTTTGGCATTATTCGGTGAGCGAGCCGGCCGCCAGCCGCCAGAGAGAATGATGGGAATTTGCCCATTGTTTCTTCTTTTTTTGATGAACGCAGAGACGTGATGCAAAATCATCTCCTCCAGATGCTCTGCTTGGCCGCCATGGAGAAGCCCACCTCCACAGGGCCAGATGACGTCAGAAATGAGAAGGTAACAGGGTAGGGCAGTGCAGCGCGCAAGGACAAGCTTCTCCCACTGGTTGGTCTATTGCCGTGACCACTTTGAAAACACTCCGCCGGCCCGTTTCCTATTGCATGCGCCTTCTGACATCACCGCGACCGCACTCTCACAAGAACCGTTGTTTCTTCACATTCATCAGCTTTTCTTTAACCCTTTCAAGGATAGCAGTTACTACAGTGGACAGCTAATCACGTTATCAGGTTCCAGGGTTAATTTGGGTCGTTTTCTAGGTGAAGGTGTTGAAGTGCATCGCTCCCGTGGATGCGTCCAAAGTGCTGCTCGGCCAGTACGTGGGGGACCCCGAGGGCGAGGGCCAAGCCAAGTTGGGTTATCTTGATGACCCAAGTGTCCCTGAAGGCTCCTGCACTCCCACCTTTGCCACTGCTGTGCTTTACGTGCACAACGAAAGATGGGACGGTAAGAGGAGACTTTGTATTGCCTTCACTTGTCGTTTTGACCTTCAATAGGGCTGTGCGATCGGGCTGCCAAAAAAAAAAAAAAAAAACGTCCTTTTTTCCCCACAATAATCCCTTTTTGAACAATTTTTCCCCCTTCTTCTATCGAAAACGCAAAAAGTAATGACAGGCATGATGATAGCTGGAAAGTATTTTTGGCTTGGGCACAGATATATAAATCGGGTCAAAGGTTTGCATTGCATTGTTGATAAAAATCATGACAACATTTTCGGTATTTGGCTTGTAATCTCGTTCCTTTTTGTTCCCTCAAAGGAGTGCCTTTCATCCTCCGGTGCGGTAAAGCGCTAAACGAGCGCAAGGCGGAGTTGCGGCTGCAGTTCACCGACGTGCCCGGCGACATCTTCGGAAATGGATGTCAGAGGAACGAGCTGGTGGTCCGCGTGCAGCCGGACGAAGCCATCTACTTGAAGATGACCACCAAGAGGCCCGGGGCCCACTTCAGCCCTGAGGAGACCGAGCTGGACCTCACCTACAGGAGCAGATACAAGGTGGCCTCAACCCCATGATGGCAGCACCTATCGGTTCTCACCTTCGGGGTTCCAATCTGGGCTCCAGCCTGCCTTCTAGTGTGGCGTTGACATTGCGTTCGCTCTGTGCTCCACTCACATTCCTAAATGTATACACTGTATGCTAGCATGTTAACTGCACTGATGACCAAGAAAATGGAGCAAAGCATTTCCAAAGAAACATCTCTCGTCTCGTCCTGGCAGAACGTGAAGCTACCGGACGCGTACGAGAGGCTCCTGCTGGACGTCATCTGTGGCAATCAAATGCATTTCGTGCGAAGGTTTCCGTCACACCCTTCAGCACTTTGCTCAGTGCCGAAAATGTTGCGCGCTCAATTCCTTTTCTTCCACTTTTCTCCCAGCGATGAGTTACGAGAAGCCTGGAGAATTTTTACTCCTCTCCTGCACCAAATTGACGAGAAGAAGACACGTCCTTTACCCTACAAATACGGGAGGTAAATCGTTTTGTTTTCTTTCATCCAAAATACACTATACATAATCCAATACATAGTCGCCATTTGTCAAAAAAAATTCGAGTAATTTTACGAGTTCAAAGTGTCAAGGAAGTCTGTAATTTCCATTTGGTCAATATTTATTGTGAGTTTGCTTTTCTTCATAGACCTATTTTAATGGAAAGTCTAAAATTCTTGCTTGCTGATGTACAGCTAACAACTTCCATGTATATCTCAACAACATTGTGTTATAGTGTACTAAGAATAGCATGCTAATAAGCTAAAAGTTGGTATACTCTCGCAGCTGTTTCGGCTGCTCTGATGGTCCACATTGGATTCCAGGACTTATTTTAAAATAATAATTAAAACAAAAAACAAAAATAATAATAATAAAAGATACAGCCACGCCTGTCATGCTCACCTACTTTTTATTTATTTTTCAATCACATTTCCCACACTGCTAGCGATTTGTTCATGGACCGAGCTATGCTATGCTAAGTTAGCTGGATAAGCTATAACACGCACTGAGACAAGTTTAACTCAGAGTGCCCACGGGTCCTTAAATTTCATAAAAATCAATTTTAAAAAAAGTTGTAAAATTGTTTTGTTGTTTTTAATTGTCCTTAATTTTCAGGGAAAGCTTCTAAAATTAATAAAAAGAAATAAAATTATAAAAATTAACCTGTGGTGTTCATTTCATTTGTGTATGTCATTTTCCCCACCCTTCCAATGAATAGTTCTGTTGGAAAATGCGCCTGGCGCCCTTCCCCTCAATCCCCGCTGTCAGGCTACATGCCTTCCTGGTTCCCGCTCTGCTTTTCCCGCCGTCTCCGATCGGTTCCGATGATGATCACGTGATCACTTTGGGTCATTTCAGGCCAATTTGACACAGTATGTCAAATAAAGGGTTAGCTGATTGCCCCTAAAAATAAAGATGTGCCCTTCCTTTGGCAGCAATGATTTGAACACCAGCTCAGTGATATTTGGCTTTCTGTTCATTAAATCCACCGTGAATCCCCTGCTCAATGGAGAAAGTCCTTAAAAATGGCAAAATTAGCCCTCAAAAGTCCTTAAAAGGTCCAAAAATAAAAAGCAAGTGGAAGAGTGGGAACCCTGGAACTGCCTGTCATAAGAATTTGCTCCCTTATTGCTTTGCTCCCTTATTTTTGGGGGCACATTCAATGGGAAGGCCTGCATCCACCACCCCCGCCCCACCCCCAAAAAAATAATGGAAGAAGAATCAAATTACAAATATACTAGAATGAGGTATACCTAAAACCATAACTTCATATAGCGACCCAAGAATGTTTTTGAAAAGTATTTATTCCCTCCATTATAATGCATTCCACAACATGCTGATTTTCATTATTTCGTTGGTTAAAATTGAAGTTTCACAATTGGAACATGATGATTGTGCGTGATGTTCCGCTGTCCACAAATAAAACATCAGTCCACGTCAAAGTTCTCGATTGTTCTTTTGTGCTCAGTCGCGGCCCGAGCGAAGCTGATGAGCTGCTGAGGACGTTTGGATTCCGCTATGAGGGGAAATACAAGTGGGTGCAACCTCACTTGTGACCCGCCTGCATGCATGCATGCACACACAGCATGCGCCACTGTTGACAAGTTTCTAAACAATAAAGTTCACTCAAAGTCACTTCTGTATTGTTTGATTGGGTGTGCATGTTGGGAAAACGTGTTATCCATGATGGATGGAAGGACGGACATGGATTCTTGGTGGACCACAAGACTGTCGGAGATCACTGGTGGACTCTTTTTTTAGGGAGAGAAATTATTAAGATTTTATCAAGTCGTCTCCTCACTGTAGGTTTGTTTAAAAATGGAAGAACAAGTTTCTCCTTGTTGCCGGCTTGTGTTTTACTAGTCAGTTACACCAATCAAAACCAATACTTGTGGTCACAAAGACAGGTATTGACATACCGTATACTATGTGCCCCACAAATCTAAACACTGTATTCTGATGAATTCACGTGATAAGAATTTTGCAAATTAATCCACCCATTTTTTTTTTTTCCATCTCCAGGAAAACATTTTACCACCCTCTGTCAATTTCAACAGAGGGTGGTATCAAATCTGCTTCATTCAAAATTAATTACAAAAAAATGCATTCAGAGTAGTGGGGGCACATAGTTTTCCCTTTTATAATGCGGTGTGTCGATTAGTGTCGGCAGCCAAACTCAGCTGGGATAGATTCCCAGCTCACCCGCCACTCAAATGAGGACAAATGCGATGGATGGATAGAAAAATAAATAGTTTATTGAATTCACAACAGTGGTTAAAAATGGAATTTGGTGAGCCCCCAATGAAAGGCTGCCTGCCTTCTTTGTCCTAAGTTATGGCCTTCACATTTGGTCATTTCCTGGCTGCACGGCCGTCCCGGCTTCAATGCCCCTGGCGTAAAGTCGCACCAGCTGCCCGTGAATTCTGATGGACCGACAAGAACACGTTGAATCCTGACAGTAGACCAGGTGTGCCAAACCACAATATTGTCACAATTGATTTATTGCATACACATGTCAAAAACATACACGTTAGTGACGGTAATCACATTTGAATTCAGTATCCACTGCTTCACACAAATATTTATTCATTAAATTAAATAATGACTGCGATTGGCTGGCAACCAGTTCAGGGTGTCCCCCACCGACTGCCCAAAGACAGCAGGGATAGGCTCCAGCACCCCCCACGACCCTTGTGAGCATATGCGGATTAGAAAATGGAATGATTAAATAATGATCATTAAATTAAGTGCAAATTTTTGGGGGTAAAAAATATATAATTTATGAAATAACCAATTTTACATCCATTTCATTTAGGCTATTTAACTGAAATACATTAGAATTATTTGAATATACGCATTTTAAAAAGATTGAAATGAACAATTTTAAATTATTGTATTCAATAATGAACATTTCATGTTCTTTAATAATTAAAATAAGCAAGCTATAAATGTAAAAAAAAAAAAAAAAAACCTGTCAAAATTCCATTTTAATATGTCAAGCTTTTGTATGTTTCCATTAGATCCCCCCCCCCCAGGCGAATCTTGACTTTCGCAAATGGAAGTGTGTCGCATTAGAGCAATCAATGATCAATCAATTTCCTGAGATAGCTCAATACCAAGTGCAAATATTTGCTGTGATGTGGATGATAATTTGTGCCCCAAAAAGAAGTAGGAAGACTGCGCTGTGATTCCTACGGTGTTGCATGTAAAACGTTTGTTTCCCCAGAGCGTGTCCCATGTTGACATTTCAATTTATTTGCTATGCAGTGCTGTCTTCTGCTTTTTGTACCACAACGAGTCATTTGTCAACAAATTACAGTGCAAACATTAAAAGTGAAATGTGAAACTTGGCCGGTCTCTTGCAATCCGTCTATGGTGCAACCTCCAATTTAGAATAATTGTCATCCAAACTTTGGTTGCAGGTTACATCAGACTATCCGTCCTGAGTCCACTGTTCTATTGACCACTTGACATTTAATGGAACAGAGGCTAGTTCTGATGGCACAGCAACCCAAATCTTGACTTTTGAGAGATGGATGAAGGATTCTGAGGAAGAAAATTGCTTTTGCAGGGGAAGCCTGATGTTTTGCTATTTGTACAAATTGTTTTGAAAAATGCACATCTCAATTCTGATCTGAGAAATGGACCAAAGTGACTGAGAAAAACCAGCAAAATATTTCAGATGAAATATTCCCCTAAAAGTGACCTTTTTTTGCTCCTCTAATCTACAAATAAAACCGCCCACGTCACTGTTTTAAGAACCAAATGTAGTTCGGGCACACAGATTTTGCAAATGTTGACGCATCACCTGCAGAGGATGTCGGTGAAGGGCAGAATCTCCCCGTCACAGTTCCACACGGACGTCGTCGGAGCTTTGCTGCAGCACACGCCGCACAGGACCCCACACGTTGCTTTTGGAGGTTGTGGGCGTTTTCTGGTCAGGTGCTGCTGAGAGCCATTCCTGCTTATGTCCTCCTCGTAGCCTCTCTTCTCCTCCTCCTCTTCTTCTTCTGCTGCTGCTGCTGCTGGACTGGGTTCTCTCACCTCCTTATACACATCCTCTTCTTCACCAGAGGATGCCGAGAAGCGAATGGCCTTGACACGATGGACCTCCACAAACGGGAGATCAAACTAACCACAAACAGGAAAAGAAACATCATCTAGCAAGTCGGCAACCCTAACATGAATCGAATGTTAGGAAAAGCAAATGACATTATTCAAAACAATTGTGTTTTTTTTTCTCCCCTCGGGGATTTCATTTTTCATCTTAACTCCCACAGAACTAATCAAAATAAATATTTGTTAGCTCACAGATCATGTGTAAATACGTGCTTCATCATGTAGAAACTCAAGTAGAGGTGTACAGGTGAGGAAATGGCAACTTTGGCAAAATATTGTCAGTTACGGGCGTAATCATCATATCTCAAAAGCAGCACTAAATAATACAAAATGACACAAACACTTTCGAAAACGGAATCAACAAAAACCACAACAAAAAAACAAACAAACAAAAACACTCATCCTGGGGGAGAAAAAAAAAAAGATAATATGATGAATACTTTTGGCACCTGATCCTGTGAGCTGGTGTGCCTGTAGAGGTACTTGAGGAAGCCCAGCGGGTGAGAGTCCCAAACTAGGATGAGGTCGCCCGTTCCGTCGGCCAGGTGAGCCGAGGGCGAGAGGCCCAGAGGACTTTTAGGACACGAGCACGACATACAAGTCAGAGAGACGCACCGGAACCTGCCCTCCACCCTCACCCAGTCACCTGAAGCGCACACACACACACACACACACACACACACACACACACACACACACACACACACACACACACACACACACAATTGTAAAATGGATCATGTCAATGCCATTTGTACAGAAGCAACTGAGCACAGAAGTTATCAGTGGCACTTTCTTGTCTGAGCCTTTGTAAAATTGTCAGCTAAAAAAAGGATCTAAAAATCTTATTCCTATATTTGCAGTTTGGTCAAATTGGCACTGATATGTGTTTGTGTAAATGATTCAACATTATGTCCATGTTTGTATCTATTCATTGACTGAAATATAACTGAATGAAGTGTGTCAAATTTTCATGATTTTATTCAAATGAGAATAAATTGTAACATGGGCTCTAATTCATTAGATTTGTGTTTTAATCAAGTCCAACCACTCTTAAAGGAAGGCTTCATTAATTTTACAGGTCGCTTGATTGGGCGTAATTCATCATGCAGTGCCAAAAAGTGCAAGGGTTTCAATCCAAACAAGGTGCGCACTGGCATGTTATTCCCAGACGAGGAGGTGTTCACAGTTGGAGAGGAGACATGCCACGCAGGTGACGTTAAAAACAAACGCTGTGCCAAGTATTTTCAATAAGCAAGAAGTGGGAGATGAGCCTAACTACCTGAAGGAGGTTCTGCTTTGTCTCAAACCTTGGCAATTCCTTGCGGGCAGTTATGTCCTTAATGCAAGCCGAGTCGGGACTTAAACATGAAGCCGCTGAGACACCGGACCAAAGCAGCACTCTGCTCTTCATGCACGGCAGGGTTCCTACTCTTCCGCTTGCTTTTTATTTAGGGACCTTTTAAGGACTTTTGGGAGCTAATTGAGCCATTTTTAAGGACTTTTTCTCCATTCAGCAGGAGATTCACAGTGGATTTAATGAACAGAAAGCCACACATCACTGAGCTGGTGTTCAAATCATTGCTGTATTGCATGTAGCCCGACAGTGGGGTTTGAGGGGAAGGGCGGCAGGCGCAATTTCCGACAAAACTATTAATTGGAAGGGTGGGGAAAATGACATACATAAATGAAATGAACACCACAGGTTAATTTTTTATGGATTTTTATTGATTTTACAAGCTTTCCCTGAAAATTGAGGACAATTAAGAACATAATTTTACAACTTCTTTTTTATGGATTTTTATGAACTTTAAGGACCCGTGGGAACCCTGGATTCAGGTTTGGGCGATTCAGCAAGTAAGGATACATTAAGGACAGCATTGTCCATAAATGTGTAGCGAGCCGATGACATGGCACTATCGACCGCACTTCCTGGTCTACTCGTTCTCCAATTATTAAATTTATCACTGTTGTCTTTATTAAATACAAAGTACATTTTTGTCATGCATGCGCAAAACTTACAACAAATTACACATTTCTCACATCCAAAAATCCATCCGATCGCTGATTTGATATTTCTAAATCTGAATCGTCGATTGGCCGTACATGAAAAATCACACAAAGTACTTTTAAACCATACACAGATATCACATGACAATAAATGTGCTGGTATTTAATTCAAGTTACACTCGGTAGAGTAACACGAAGAGTTTCAAATTTGATCACGGTTTATTAAAAAAAAAAAAAACATTATATCCTGATAACAAACACAACAACAAATCTAAAAGAAAATATAAGTGGGAACACTGAGAAATGTGTTCAACGAGCACACAGTGTACATGTTCAAGTGCGTTTGTGTGTGCGCGCGTGTGTGTGTGTGTGTGTGTTACCCTCTGAGTCACCGCTGTTCTGGCTGAGATACGAGCTGCATAGTGAGCTTGAATCTGAAGACTGGGGGAAAAGCCTCTCTGTGCTCCTGGAACACACATCGCAACTGCACACGCGCACAAAGACAAAAACACACACGCACGCACGCATATGACAGACACACAAGTGCGCACGTTAAAATATGAAACATGTTTTTAGAATTGTATTACACCACTGCAATGAAACAAAAGATTTATTTTATTAGTTTTATTTAATATTATTTATGGTTTATCACAAGCTGGGTTGTAATAGTTTCAGACTAAATATTATGGATGGTTTAATTTTTTGTTTGTTAAATTCAGTTAGTATTTCGATTTTTTTTAGTTTTATATAATGCTTCATTTTAGTTTGCATGAGTTTTAGTATTATTATGATTATTTTTTAAATTTGTATAATTAGTAGTAAATGGCCTCAAAAAATAAATACAATCGATCAGTCGGGAGCCACTAGATTTTATTTTTGTCCCATCAGGAAAAAAAAAACCTTCTGTTCTGATTTATTTTCATTTCCTAATCTGTTACCCTGAGAGGCAGCGCGTCTTGTCCCTCGGGCTGGAAAGCATCGGGTCTGCCGGCAGGAAGTGAACGACACCCGGGTAGCTTCTATTACTCAGATACACCACCATGCCTGCATGGACCAAGGACGGCTACATCAACTTACATGACAAAATGGTGTAAAACAAAGTATGTGAAGCTTTTTCAATGACCGGAATTCTTGCATAGGGTCATAAAAATCGACCTTGAAGCTCATCAGTCCATCCTAAGACACTTTGGCAATAAATAGAGAAAGTTCAGCACTAGTCTCCCTAGGAGAGGTTGTGAGCAAATTGACATTTTAGCACTGAGAGTAGTAACTCTCCATAGGAGAGGTGATCCTCCTCAATAAGGCGAAGAGGAATACAGGTCATTCCAAGGCGTTCACATACTTTTTTTTTTTTTTTTTCCGGCATCCCGGTCTCATACCAGCATAGTCGTATCTGAGCGGTCCCATCCAGCGCTTTCTTTCGCTCTGGGCAAGCACGTCCCCGAAAAAGCCGTAACCCAGCAGGGATACTGAGTAGCGCACCAGAGTGCTAGAGTGATGCACCGAGCACACGTCCAAAGGCTGAGAGTCGCCTGCAAACGCAACAAGACCAACTCCGAGTCACGGTTCATTTGACTTATGCCAAAATGGAGAACTTTTTCATCTGTGTGTGCATCGATTTGGTTACGTCGCCAACAGGAAGACAAAACAAAATAAACATGAAAAAAAAGTGTAGATGATTTTTTTATTTTTATATGGTGGCATCACATGTTTTATAAAGCCTCTTGCATGAATTGCCAATTTGGACTTTTAAGGTGCTTCTGCAGGACTTTACTGTGAAATCACTCTGCCACTGTCTCTTCGAATGGAAGGACGCACAATGAACAATGCTGTAAAGCGGGAACAGGAAAAAAGTGTTTTTTTTCAGTTTTTTTACCAATGATGATGTGCAAAGCTGAAGTGACGGGATCGATCACCCCAATGGTGGCGAAGCACACGCAGTCTGTGGAGCCTAAGAAATAAAAAATTATTAAATTTAAAAAAAAAAGAAAAAAGTCACGATGACTGTGTGACTGGTGTCAGCTTTTCGTGTTTGGCACCGACCTGCCGGGATGATGCCGATATGGAGCGGACACGCTTGTAACACGGCTGACGGCTCGTTCTCACATAAGCCCGCCTCTTGTTGCGTGCGGCCAATCACGCCGTGGAGCACCTCACTGAACATGCCGTCACCACCAACACACACCACACTGTTGTATGCACACAAAAATAATGAGTTGTGCGCGCGCGCACACAGACGCGCGCGCGCGCGCGCACACACACACACACACACACACACACACACACACGTACCCGTTAAAGCCTGTGAGGTCTTTCTTGAGGAGGTGGTCTCGGGCCTGATTGGCTCGCTCTGTTACTAAATGTACAATAAAGAATGACATCAGAATCTGAATAATAAACAACCTGGAAATCAGACAGTGATTTACTTAGGTTCAGGGTTTTTCAATATGTGCTTTGACATGGACTGGCGACCATGCCATTGTTATGTGAAGATGCCCTGACTAGCCCAATGCGAGAAATTGGAGGGCTCATTATTATACATTATGCACAATGCAGCCGCCGTCCATGTTACCAATACATTACATAACGGCTGCGCGAGACATGCTCGGGTCCACCTGTAAATGAAAAGCAAATTTCTTTCTGCACGGTATCTAAAACAAACTACAACGGGGAATTAACATTTGGAATCGCATAATTTAGTTAACGCACTTTATGATCATAGTTGTTATGTGACACCTTTTTGTTTATTTTGTTTGTTTGGGGTTTTTTTTAGGTGATTTGTTCTGTTAATGTTGTCAAGTGGTAAAGACAAACTGTTACCAGTGCTTTAAGTGGGCTAGTTCGCAGCACTACTACGGAGGACCAGAACTTCTCAATTTTGGCCTCTCGCGTACCGGGTCTTTTTACGGCGTACCGGGCCTTCACATCAGGCCACAGTACTGTCTTTTGTTCGATTTCTCGCTTACACTTTTTGATGCACATGCAACTACTTCGGTAATTTGGGTAGCTCAAAAAAGTTGTTTTTTTTTCCTGCTTCAGATAAGTTTTATTTGGCATGCACGGCGTGATTAAGACATGTTAAGGAAACTACAGACATACTCATAAATACGCCACCAACGCAAAAACTAACTTCAAAATAAAGGTTTATCCAAAATACATTGATCCCAGTGCAATAGCCTGAGTAGGCTTATTACTTTGAAGCGCCGAGTGACCTGGTGTGTTTTCTTACCGATAACATGACAGCTGATTCCAGCCAGCTCAAAGAGAGGAGCAGCCAGAGAGTCGTAGATGTGCCTTCCTTTCTTCTTCCCTCCAAGTGGATTGATAAAGACCAGTAACCTGCTTGGACGCAAAGGACCTGAGAGCGGATCAGCATGGATGATGATATTTCATTCTCAAGCATGCAAACATGATCCGTTTGAAATGATGGGATTCCTCACAATGAGTTTTGAAAGCTGCTCTCAAATGTTTGGTCCACTGATCCCTCAGGACCCGACTAGGACAGCTGAACTGGGTTTGACCCAGTCGCCACAGCAACCCACGGGAGCTCCCGCTGCTCACGCGTTTCACGTAGAACACTGGAACATAAAACGGAACAGAAAGGAAGTGAAACACAAAATCACTAAAAATGAAACTGTTTTTCTCATTTATCTATGCCGGTGATGTATAGTGACCATCAGAAATATGAAATACTCTTCCACTAGAGGGCAGAAGGGCACCCATCTATTGACTTTCATACAACAGAATAATAGTTTTGTGTCATCAAACACGCCCACATTTCACACTAACGAGTGCTCAACAACATTGAGCAGATAAACGAATAAACCCTCTTCTAACGACCCACCAGTGAAATCTTTGTCTGAGTCCTCTGCAGACTTGTGGGGCAGGACGCTCACTCGCCCCTCCTCCACGCCGACGACATCCGCCACCGGCACTGAAACTGAAAACCAAACAAGCGCCGTCATGAAACACGAGAAAGTCAATGATCTGCCTTTTTTTCCATTCAAGGCATGCGCCACAAAAGACGACATCAAGTCCGTTTGATCTCCAACAATTTGGATTACCATGGAAAGACAAAAGTGATTCTGTAGTGAAAACAAAACTTTCTAGGGAACACAATGAGCACATACAGGCACATATGGCAGGTTTTGGTGATTAAAAAAATAAATAAAATACCAAAGAAAATCCTTTCAAACCTTATTCCAGCATTCGTGTGCCCTATAAACTGTTCAACAAAAAAAAATCTTTGAGAGGGGATGTAAAAATAAACAAGTGAGTGATGTGGTTGCCAAAGTGTGCACACCCCAACTCTGGATGTAGTTTTAGTCAGTCACATTCAAACTCATTTTAAAAAGGAGCCAGCACACACCTGACACCAATTCAAGTGTGTTATAAAGTGAGGTTCTAGTAGGCTTTTTCTGACATTTTCTTTCCCGTTCCTCACACAAAACTTTCAGGAAGCGTGTTCTATTTGTTGAGTGTTCGGTACTCTCGTATACACTTGACACCACAGTTAGCTCATCTGTCACTGTCGGGCTCGTTAATGCTGTTGAACCGGTTGTCCGTGTTTTCCGTGCTTCCTCCAAGTGCTTATACTGACAACCTTAAACCGCTCTCCTAGAAGACACAATAACACTAACGCACTTTAATAAGTGCACTCCATTTTCGATTGAACTCCAACTAGTGTGGTTAATAATGTCCAAATGCAAGAAAAGTATATTTGTTGCCTTTGAAGCTTCTTCCTGCTTTTGGCACCTGCAAAATCGTTCATGTTTTCTCTTCACAAAGTAGAAATGGTCAATGGTCAGCCCGCTGCAGGCTACAACTGGGCTCTTCCCATTTTTCGGTCAATTTTGAAATATTGCCCCTCACACCACATGGAAAAACTCAACTAAGCGTAACTTGCCTTTTTTACAATTCTAAAACTGTATTTCAAAATTTCTCTACTGACTGCGAAAGATCCTCAGAATTCAGTACGTCCATATCCAAAAACGTTTCCACAATTTTCAACACACAAGAAAACTCAATGAGAAATTCATCACAAAATAATGTTCCTAATCGTTTCAATGTCAATCCAAACAATTGAGCTCATTTAGAACATCCTGGCGACGAGTTGGCACATTCCAATTATTCCCACTTTTCTATTAGTCCATTTTAAAAGAATACAATTTTCAATTTGCCATTTAAAAAAATCTTGACATATTCTACATATTGCCCTGCTTGTTCCACCTTTCCTGTCTGGTCCAAACTTCAAGTCTCACGATGTACAGGCCATCAATTTTATTGACGCAAATTGCATTTTCTGGACAGTGCAGGTGGGACGTGAATGAAGCATCGATTTACTGTTTAAGTCACATAACACACGTTTGTAATGGACTATTTCATGAAATGAGCAGGTGATGTGCTGGGGCGGGGGATGGGAAAGTGCAACGTACTTGTTTTGTCATGGCGGTTCTTGTTCCCTATTCGGGTCCAATTGAAGGTCCAGCCGGTGAGCACGCCTCGGTAGCGGCTGTTGCCGAGCCACAAGCTCGACTCCATCCGGACGCCACACTTGGCCACGACTCCACCTTTGCACCTTTGCCACCTTCACTGACGAGCTCGGACTGAGCGGGAAGTCGAGTGTTGCACACGCCGGGTTAGACCGACTGGTAGGCGCGGTGCTTCTCGTTCTGGTTTATTTAGAAGCCGCCCGCCTGTGAGAAGAACGCCGATTGGCTCCTCATTGGACTCGAATAAAAACGGAGGTCCCCGTGGGAAACTTTTAATTTTAAGGAAAGGTACGCGTTTTATTTGGAAAATGAACATGGTTTTGAAAACGAAGTGCATTGAAAAAAAAAAAAAGAATACAAACGTACATGTAAAAATGTTGGCGATACTATTTTTCGTTTCAGAAATTCATTGCGTGTTTTTGTGAACATTTCTTCGGTTTTATTGTTCATAAATTCTGTTCGAGTTTTATGTACAGCCCTTTTTTTCCAGTTGCAGTTGTTTACAAAGTGTTTTACACGTAAAACTGAGTTGAGAATGATTAACTAATTAACATTTAATTAAAAAATATATCAGTATTAAATACACAACGAACACGACTGAATAAAAAAAACAACCAATTTTAGGGAAAAAATTGCTAAATAAACGCAACTATATTGAATAGAATTTCAGAACTTTTATAGTATATATATTTTTAATAATCACTTGATTGACCAACCAATTATTGTGATTTTGCTAAACGAATACAAACAAGTATTTAATGAAGTTCTTTTTTACTATGTTTTTATATTACTCGTTTAACACATTTTCGGAAAAATGAGTAAAATACTCGGCAACAGTTAGGGGTGTTCACGCGGCAACTTTTGCTCCGGTGCAGCACAGGGGCTGCCCCCATAGAGCGTTCACACGTACAAAGTTACACCGGTGTAGCCCCTGAAAACGGCCTAAACGGGAGCAAATTTAACCCTGCTCAAGGAGGTGATTTAAAAATTTGCTCCGGAGTAAATGCTCGTTTGCAGGGCAGCACCAATGTAAAATGGTACGTGTGAACGCTACAGGGGTAGACTCGCTATGCATGAGAAGAGTTGATTCCATACGGGTCGAATGCGTTGCTTTCGTGCTCTGTTGTACTTCCGTCATCTTTCCTTTTGTAAGAGACTGGACTGTCTCGGAGTTGTTTGTGTAGTTTGTTCCTCTGTTGTGTGTTCACAACCCCCCCATAGAATTTATTTTGTGATTTCCTCACTTGATTTTCTGTTTGGCTGTCAGAGATTTTCTCAGACAAAGTTAAAGAAATGACTCAGCACACAGGAAAATTGTCTTCAATATTGGCGGGAGCGGATCTCTGAGAGCGAACGACGGTAGTTGCTCCGATGATCACACACTCGGCTCCCTCTCCGCAGGTTCGAACTTTTATTGCAAAATACAAGAAAGACACTGCCCCCGAAATTTGCATACTGCGCCCCCCTGTCCGGCCCCTCGGTAGTGATCTGATCTACCCGAATACACAAGTCACAGATTTTGCTGATGACAGATGTCCACCTGGGCGTGACAGCTGTTCCCAAATTGTCCTTTGGTATTCAACAACTCTTTGTTCCCAATTTGTTTATTCCCACTCTGTGATTGAATCTAGCCTTCTTCCATCTGTTCGCCCCCCTTGCTTTGACGTGATTACTCAAGAAAAGGCCCTCCGCCCAAACGGCCGACACCTCTGCGCTGAGTATGTCCAGACATGCCCAAATTAACCGAAACTTTAAACATGATACAATTTTGTTCATAGATTTCTCTATCATTGGCGCATTATTGACTTAGCGTAGGTTCGCGTTCCAACCTGGCTACAAATTCAGGACTCCCTGTCCATGGAAAATATTTTCATTCAGTGAAACGGACACATAAACAATTAGACTGAGAGATGCAGTACGAGATACTTCATTCTGGAACTAACGTTTGACTTTTGATAGGCAAGTTTTATTTTCATAAAACAAATATTTGGGATCTTTCCAATTTTAGATTACATTTCTTTGTAAATACCTTGCCGCGAATGCAAAGTAAGTGCAAAAACAGTCCTTTTGTGGCAAACATCCTTCAAAAGAGATATTTGACTATGAGGAACATAAAACATTGCACTGCAGGCTATAGAACTATGCGATTGCTGAAGATAAACTGAAATGCTGTGGAATCAATTCAATTGTTGAAATGTAGAATGCGAAACTTGAAGTTATTGGAATGGTTTGAACTGGTCAGGAAACAAGGAGGGAGGAGAGTATGTGAAAGATTTCAAATTTGGGGGAGGGGGAGAATTAGGTTGTTTTTGTGTGTGTGTGTGTGTGTGTGTGTGTGTGTGTGTGTGTGTGTGTGTGTGTGTGTGTGTGTGTGTGTGTGTGAAATGTGTGTAATGCGGGATTGATGGAATATGGAAAATTGTTCAACATTTCATGGCCTGATATATGTGAATGCTTTTTCAACAATTAAATACATGTTTTTGCTCTTGTTTTCACAGCTTTCATGTGTTGACTTAATTCATTTTAGTCAAGTGCACTCATTCTGGAGGCTCCCCCCTCACACCCGCCGTTCCTTTGGGGCTCCTGCAAAGGAGGAAGACGAGGAAGATGGGTGCTCTTGCAGGGTACGCTTGGAGATGAGCTCTTTGAAGACCGAGTCCATCTGCCGACATACATCCTGCGAAAGGAGGAGAGAATCTTGTATGATTTGCACTTCATTCAGCTTAAGATCCCAAATCAGTCACACCGGCAATGGCATCAGGCACTGTTATGACGATGGACATGTCTCTCGCCCAATAACACAACAAGCTAAGGTGCTTATGAAGAGACGCAATGAATTCAGTTGTACCTTGTGGACAAGTGATCCCGACTTAGAAGTTTCTCAAGATACCAGCCATCGTTCGGTGGAGATACGAGCATTGTATGGTGGCAGTGAACCCAACTCAAATCACTTATAAGCAACAGTTGGGTAATTTGTGACTTGGAAGAGTCTATTTAGCTTCACAATGCAAAACACAAAAGACGGGCTAACAAATAGCATTGATTTCACTTGGAAAGTAAGATTTGAGTGTTAGTTCTGAGCCTGGTTGTGGAACAAATGAAGCTCTCGCCTTGGGAAAAGGTGCAACAGCGTTTGGAATTGGTCCATTCAAAAGGACAAAGGAGGAGGACCACAAACCTTATCTACATTGATGACATCTTCAGGGGAGGCGTTCATCTGTCTGGAGGAGGAAAAGATGGCGGGTGAGATTCTGACTTATTGATCAATTAATTCATGGGTGTCAAACTCAAATCCCACCCACCACATCATTTCATGTTGCCCAATAAAGAAAATCAAGTCCATCAACTTCATCCATCCATTTTCTAATCCGCTTATCCTCACGAGGGTCGCGGGCATGATGGAGCCTATTCCAGCTGTCTTCGGGCATTCGGCGGGGAACACCCTGAATTGGTTGCCAGCCAATCGCAGGGCACACAAAGACAAACTAGCATTCACAATCACACGGGACCATTTAGAGCACGGGTGCCCAAACCTTTTGGACCGAAGATCGACTTTTCGATCAACCAACCTCCCGCGATCAACCCATTACCGCGCACATGCCATGATAAGCAACAGCCTGACACGGAGGCATGCGACGCACTTTTGCAGCCTGTTAACTATCGTAGCTCACACGTACCATTTTAAAGTGCTTCCCTTGGCCCTCTAGATTCCTATTCTTTGCCTGTGCCCTCGGTGAATTGTACACGAAACAAACTCTGAATGAGAATAATGATAACGATAAAAGATATAGCGCAATAGCTCTGATCACAAGCTGCAATTGCAGACTGCTGAGCGCTAACAACTTCTGGTGACGCAGGTCACGCGCCACCGTAGGTTAAAGATTTACCTGCTTTATTTTGTTTTATAAATACTTTTTGTGAAAATGAGACTGATAGGATGATTAGGGTACAGTTTACATTAACACAAAAAATATATTACCAACATACACAAAGACACACAAATGGTTGTTGTTTTTTTTTCTCCTCTACACCCCTCGCGATCAACTTGGGATCAGTCCGCGATCTACTGGTGGATCGCGATCAACATAATGGGCACCCCTGATTTAGAGTGTTCCATTAACCTGCCATGCATGTTATTGGAATGTGGGAGGAAACCGGAGTACCCAGAGAAAACCCACGCAGGCACGATGAGAACATGCAAACTCCACACAGTTAGGGCCGGAATAGAACCCTGCACCTCTACGCTATGAGGCGTCCCCGTGGGCAAGTCGATCACTGTGCCACCTGTCTACTTCATATTTTCCAGAAATTGATTTGTTCTTTTCATTCTTGGAGAAGCTCTACAAAAATACACAGTTTTAGAAGCATTCATTTTCACCAGATCCCTTTTGACATAAATTTCCATCCATCCATCCATTTTCAAGACGGCTAATCCTGAGGAGGGTCACGGGGTGTTGCTATCCCAGCTGACTTTGGGCCAAAGGCAGACTTCACACTGAACTGGTCGCCAGTCAGTCGCAAGGCACATAGAGGGTATTTCTCTATTGATTTTACTTATTGCTGCGTTGGTCTGGACTGTAACCCCGGTGATGGAGGCTAGTTTACTGTACACGTAATGATGAGGTGATAATATATTTCCTTGGTTACAGTCATTCCTCCAAAGTAGGATGAATATGAGTTTGACAGCCCAGCATGAATCCGTTGATAGCTCGGTACTCACTCTCTACGTGCAAAACCAGGAGAGTGGATCCTCCTTGGCCGGCATTGGGGCCCGGTGGGAATCTGGAGAATGACCTTTGCCCCGCCCGTGGGGACGCTACCCCCGGCTGGTCCCGATGCAGTCCTGCGGTGATCCGCCAATCCACTCTTGTCAGCTTTGGAAGCCTCGCTGTTTTTCTGCAGGGCTCCTGTCGCTGAGTTACTGCGATTGACCGGGTGTCCCGCTTCCACTTCTGTTGCACATCATATCTGTTAATTTGTGTCCTGCTTCACAAACTTTAATCAGCCAAGATGCATACAGTAATCCTTCCTCGTGGGGGCATACTTGTCAATTATTGATTTGCGTTTCTTGTCAAAAGAAAAAAAAGTAAGATGTTCAAATGAACTTACCAATTTTACAGAACTCTGCCTCACCGTCACCTTCCTCCACATTTGGCTCACTGTGGAAGGAAAAATAACTGCATCAGAAAGCGCAAAAAAAAATGTGAACACTGGCCAAGATTTATAAAAATAAAGCGTTGTAAATTGATATTTTCTAATTATTGTGAAAAATCATTAACATGATCAATGCCTTCAAATAAATTCTGATTGCCCTTCATAATATTATTAAAGGTTATTTGAGCAAATTTGTTGTTTCAGAAGTGTGTATCTAACTGGAAGCCCATTGAAATAATCAATACCCATGAAGTAGCTCTCATTTTCAAAAAGGTTGCATCAACGAATGTGGACTTGTGTGCAGTAGCTCCAATTTGTGTGGCAGTTGAATGCAAACTTTGAAGAGCGAAATTTGAACAGAAATGCTGGGGAATTGTTTCAAGGAAGAACGTGAGGCTTGAGTTGGAATGACTTGAATCGGTTGAGAAATAGTCAAAGGATTAGAATTATATTGTGAAATGGGGATCATGACAAATCATTCCGTACACTGTCCTGAACTGAGCTGGACTGAAGCGGGAATGGCTTAGATCGACTGAGAAATGCGGAAGGATGAGGTCAATGAGTAAAATGTCTGTAAATTTGAGGAATGTGGAGAAACAGTTCCCAAAATCTCCTGAATGAGTTGCAAAGGTCGAAATGGCTCACAAGATGTCCTAAATGAGGTGAATATGTTCAAATTGAAACGTGGAAGGAGTAGAACAGCAGAAAAAAAATTGTTTGGGGGAGCAGAGTAATGTGAAAATTGGATTGACTGATTTTCTCTCACCCGTCATCTTGTTCCAGTGTCATGCACTTCTCGTACACGGGACCTCGCACCTCGCTCTGACCGGGGAAGATGCTCTCGTGCTGGATGATGAAACTCTTGACCAGGGCGTTGATCTGCGGCTGCAGGGAGACAGCGTCCTGCTGGTCCTGGTGCTGGTCCTGCTCCTGCTCCCGAGTCCCTCTGACCAAACTGGGACCGAAGCACACGGCCAGGTTGTACGGCTGCATCATGTTCTCGTCGCTGTACTGCGACACGCTGGGAACACCGGGCAAATCACAATTTGACAACACTACACGACAATGGGTAAGCTTTTCTTAAATTGGAATGAAAAGGCAGACAGACAGACAGGTGTGTGGCAGGTGGGTTTGCACTCACTGATGAAGAAAAGCAAAGAGGTATCTCATGACAATGATGAGCGGCTCAGGGAAGGACGAGATGACACTTTTCAGCTGATCAGCTCTTTCGCCATCGTTTTTGATGTCTGACGGAGAAGTCATTGTGAACGAGCACAACAGGAAAAATTGAAGAGAAGGCAGCAAATGAGTAATCGCATCGTGGGTAAAGTAGGACGTTGCACTCTAAAAAAAATAATTGGGTTATTTCATTCACTGAATTTTTGGATTGCTTTTGTTGGGTCAAAACTCTGGGATATTTCTAATTAAAGTCACCAAACTGTTGGTCCAAATTAAACATTTATTGGGTTATATGACTGTTATGCTTTTGTTGGGTCAAAAATCAACCAATCAAGTATGACTGGCGGCCATGACAGCCATCGACATACTGTTCGTATGTCCACACGCTCAGCATCATGGTCAAGTCGATACTTGCCATTTGGATATCTTCTTTTATCACTGTTTTGGTACGTACTATACACGTTTTAATCTTTTGAAAACGGTCACGTTGCCTTGTAACTGCGTGTGTGTTGGACAAGGGGAGTGAGGGAATCATTAAAAAATAAAAAAAATCCAATGCCATGTAATGGTAAGGCATCGTAGATTGGCAAGGAGCAGGAAACTCTGACATTAAGTTCAGGTAAGATTTCGAACAGTTATCTCATAAGAGATGAAAAAGTTGAAAAAATAAATTGTGTGTGTGTGTGTGTGTGTGTGTGTGTGTGAGACTTTTATTTTAGCACACGTTACTTTAAGCATAATTAATTATGCCAGTCTGTATAACTATGGTCACACATTGTCTAGTCATAAATAATGGAAAACACATCATTTACTGAAACACAAAAATTCCTATTTGCCTGACCTTTGAAGCGCGCGGAAGATCCTCATTCAAGGGGTTCGTAAACTATGTCCGTCACCTGCAGCCTCTCGTCTGCGGTGAGTGTGATGTGTGTCAATGTATGCATCAAACTGTTGTAGAACAATGAGTGCGCACCCTCCGCCGCACTACTCAAACTGTAATGGAAGTGGGAATTGTCTGGTGTCCAGATTGTAGATTAAAGTGGGGTGGGTACAAGGAATGAGTGTAGAACTGTGGTATGTGTGTGTATGGTGCGTGCCAGCTGTCACCGTGTGCGCTGATAGGATGAGATAAGTGCACAATTGCTCACGCGCGTAGCTTAGACGGAACATTGCTCCAAACACAAAGAGACGACGACGATGACAACACTCACAGGCGTACTCCAGCAGGCGACTGAGGCTGTCTACAGGGAAGAGGGGATTCTTCAAATCTCTGAAATACAGCTTTAGCACTCCAGCAACAGAATCCAGGTCAGATGTGTGTTCGGCCAGTGGGTCTTCTCCTACGGGGGGAGCCAAAACAACAACCCTGCATCTCAACTGGATATTCCAGACATCACCTCTACGCACGTACGCAACAGTTTGTGTGCATAGGCTAGCAATGAGTGAGTCATCAACATCTTCGGACTTGTATTTGTGCGTATTTTGTGAACAAATTCTGAATATCCTCACACCATGCATACGCACAAATTAGCTTCTGAAAAAATGCGAACAAAGATAATTAAAAAAAAATACACAGGATGAATAACATATTGAAACTCGAGCAGCAATTTATATAAACACTAATAATAATTTAAACAGTAAAAACTTAAACCGAGAATTTGCTCATGAGTTGACTAATGTCCTAAATAGCTGTGAAGGACCACCCCATTCACTTTCACCCGCTTGTGGTTCAAGTGTGTTTATGTATGTGGCTTACTGTACAAAAGACGGCGCCACTCTCTGTGTGTCCACATTTGTCACTCAACAAGTGACAGCAATATGCAGACCGTGCAGCCGCAAAAGCCAGCAAACGGCTTGCATTTCCTGGTTTTAAAGGTTTTTGTAATCGATCAAGTCCATCCGCACGCTACAAAACAGCATCGCCTAACATTTAGAGTTGACAAACGGCCATCCAAAAGATCCTACACATGTCGCCGTTGGCTTGCTTGTGACGTGAGTCCGACCGACCGGCATGAATTAAAATTTATTTGCTGTGCTATATTTATTCTTTCTATTCCAACAACTTGTAGAGTGTTTTACAGATTGGCTCATCGTGATTTTTTTTTTTTTTTTTAATGAGCGCCTTCTATCCCGCATTCTCTAATTTAAGTTTTTATTGAATTAACTAAAAATGGTCGGCAACATTACCATGGTGTCATGTTCAGCAAGCTGTCTAATGAGACAAACTTTCTGAAAATAGGACAAAGACTGACAACATTCTGAACGTTTTGGGGCCGTCTCTCTAAATGTTTTTTTTTTAATCTCTCGCTACTTTAAACCTCCAGGCATTGGCTGAGATGTCTCAAACCGACAGCCCTTTAGGAGGAAATCTGGGCTCACCTCATGCAAATTAGTGTGCCACATGCACACGCTGTCATTTACGATAAATTCTGATTCATCAATATATGCACACAAATTAAAGAAAATGGGCCGGTGCAGTCGTGTAGTGAATGCGACGGTGATTTTGCGTATATGCTCAACTTGTGCGCAGAGTACGACCATTCCAATGCATTTATCACTAATGAGGCCCATTGTGTACTGTAAAAGGAGAGCTACTAATTCAACTTCTTTATTTGGGGGTTTAAAGTAGTTTTTAAATGCACTTCTTACACTAACAACATGGCAGCAAACAGAGGAGCTAGGTTACAAAAGCAGTCAGTATTGACAACTTAGGAACTTCCCCAAACCCCTGTAGCGACTATTTTTCCAAAAAGTGACCACCAAAAGAATTTCTGTCTAATTTTTTTTAAATCTGTTTATTTTATGACTGCGGTCTCATGAACAAGACACTGTAGAAAACCTACCTCGTTCAAACGCATCCCTCAAATTGTTGACTTCCACCTGAGAACCCGACACCCGAAATATGCCTTCATGGTGGAGGCCTACGGAACAGAGCGACAATGAGAATTCGTCATGAAAGACGCTCAACACGCGCTTCGGAGTCTCCCAAAAGGCAGTCGTCGGGGCTCACCGTTGAGATTGATGAAGCGAATGCAACTTTCCACCACAACTGGAATCTGTTGACCTGAGGCCTGCTCGACATATGGAGGAACACAAAATAAATACGTACATACAGTGGGTACTCAAGTATCATTAATTGAATGACAGTGTTTCCGATTTTTTTTGGAGTGGGGTTGTCCGTTATATGTGGAAAAACACACCCTTTATTGATTTTCTTTAATGTAGCAAAAAAATTAAGAAAATTAAATAAAGAAAATATTTTTCTATTTTTGTGGTAAAAAACAGCCGAGGAAACAAACACGTTTGTCTGCTCAACCAAACAGAAAGCGGAAGGTTATTTGTTGTGTGTCGGATTAGGTTCCGCCATGTTGAACTTCAAGTGACCACAATGAATGTGAGAGCAATAACACCAAATTTGACATGCCTGTTCCCCATTCACACCCGAGACTGTGCAACACTAAGTTGCCATATGACAGCGAGGATGAAAAATGGGCAGTTAGGCCACATTTGGACATTTTCAGTTTGAATTGCAGTCACCTTTGTTGACAGCAGTTGAGGCGGGGGTCGGCAACACGAGGCTCCAGAGCCGCATGCGGCTCTTTAGCAACATCTAGTGGCTCCCTGGAGCTTTATAAAAAATGTTTGAAAATCGAAAAAGATTTTGATAGTAGGCTAATATAGCTCAAATAGATATAGGTACATGTTGCAGCTCCGAAAAAGGAGAGCTGTGGTGTTGGTTTTTTAAAACATACACGTTATTTATGCTTTTAACAGTCTCGACAAACACAGACAGTCTGTGTCTGACTCCGTGCCTTCTCTCTTCTCGAGAGGCGTTCAAAGACAGCCTCAGAAAAATGGAAATTAATGATCACTTCACTGACACTAAGAAAAGCGAAGATAATGCACCAAAACAAAATATCAAGCGAGGAAATTACAAAATAAATTCTATGGGGGCGTTTGTGAACACACAACAAAGGAATGAATAACATAAACAATTCTGAGACAGTCCAGTCTCCTACATACATACAGCATGTGTCCTTCATTGTAAGTTTTATAGAAAGCTTTTATTTTTTTGCGGCTCCAGACATATTTGTTTTTTGGGTTTTTCTGTCCTATATGGCTCTTTCAACATTTTGGGTTGCTGACCTCTGAGTTAAGGCATGGATGGCTGTGTGTTGAGTTATTTTGAGGGGGCAGCTCAGTTCCACTGTTACACAAGCTGTACACCGACCATCCGCTAATGTAGCAAAGTGTCATTTCTTCAATATTGCCCCACGAAAAGATATAATTTAAGAAAATTACAAAATTGTGAGGGTTGAGCACTTTTGTGAGATAATGTATCAATATTTTTTATTTATAGAAATGCCAAATTTCATTACCTGCATGAAGGTCAGCATGTCACCGTTGAAAAGTTTGTGGTTGTGCAACAAACTGCTACTGGAGGGAAGTTTTCGAACACGTGTAGACTTCCCATTGTGTCTGGAATGAGAAAAAAAACAAATGGTCCTCATCCCGTTAACACCAACACTGCTGCATATGCACAAGTATACGCAGTCCAGTTATGCACCAATGTTCGTCATATCCCAAATTTTTATCTTTTCTGGATCAGTCAGCTGGAAATAACATCAGCGACAAACAGCTTGCTGATTCTAAAGACAAATATTTTTTTACATGATGCAAACTTGCCTTTATCCCTGTCAATGTGAAAGTAAATTCGACGCACAACTTATCCCCACGCACAACCTCAAAAAAAAAAAAAAAAAAAAAAAATTATCTTTTGCCACTGTCATTTCCAGCAAGGAGATACATACGGTGGGTGTACTGAATGAAGTAACGGGTGTGTGCATTCAGTAAGGCCATCTATGGCATTCCGCATTATGTTAGCATTATGTTGGCTGACTTTCATTAGATTAAATGTTGTAGTTTGAACACGTTAATGTTAAACTATACGACTATGTGATAAGGAATACTTCAAAAATTTGTTTGATATATCTAAGTCTGTTTTAAAAGTTTAAATGCACAGCATGTGGAAAGGGGTAAACCACACATAAGACAACAACAAAAACCCTCTTGTGGCTGGGTCTAAAACATATCCCCCCAATAAAAGGGGGTTGACTTACCTTGGCAGATGTCTATTTGATGCTTGACCTAGGATATGGTGGAATTAAAAATAAATTAAGTTCTCGTACAGGTCATTGTTTGAAGTGCGGATGATGCATTGGCGCAACCTTTTTCAACAGCAACTTTAAGCAGGTCGTGTTTGGCTTGCAGCTTGGACTCCAAAGAGGTGCCGACCAGGAACTCCTTGACTCTCTAGAAGACAAAGCATCTGTTGTCATTCAGTGAGCCCATCTGTGCGTGTAGCGCATGTAACTGACACAAAGGTGTATTTTTATAAAATGGCACACCACACACCGGAGCAATTGTCAAATTGTGTGAATCAGGGGTGCCCAACTCCTTTCCTCGAGGGTCTCTATCCTGATTTAGATGTTTCCCTCCAACACACGTGATTCAAATGCTCAGCAGCAAGCTATGCAGAAGCCTGATAATTATCCTTATCATTTGGTGTGTTGGAGGAGGGAAACATCTAAAACATGAAAGATAGGAGGAACGGAGTTTGAGACCCCTTTTATGAGTCCTAAAGGAGGTACTCAGCTTATTCAGAACAAAATGTTAACTATCACATTCCCCAAAGACCGAAATTTTCACAACAGAAAATCTCAAATGTAGACCTATGTCATTTCTTACAATTGGGAGCGCCATCAAAACATGTAGAACTTGAATGCAATTGACAACTTAACAACCTTGTCTCACTTGACAGCATACAGTTTGTCATTGTGGTCTGTTACTTTAAAAAAAAAAAAAAACCCTCACAATGAGGTAGAGGTTCTCTATTTCTTGCTGGTTGGCTCTGCGGCGAGCCACACTGGGCCGGGCTAGCAGGCTCTCTGTGCTCTCCTCCTGGCTGCTGTTAGGCTCCAAGTCCAAGTCGGCCATAGTTTCCAACAAAGACGACTGGGCAGCTGACATGCTCTTGTTTGCCTGCAGCGGTCGGGCAAAAGCAACATTTTGGACACGTCGGACTCAAATTCACGGAAGCCTTGCATTAAATGTAGTGAAAGGAAAGGAAAGCTTTATCGGACTGTAATGAAACCGGTCCTTTTGTGCATTTGGAGACGGTAGCATTGAGCAGAAGAAATTCGAACAGGAGATTGAAGAGAATGCTGAAATTATCTTTGGGAGTCATTTTCACTACAGTATTGCCTGTGAGTGTCCTGGCCATGGTATTTTACATATCGGCGTGACTGTTCTTACGCCGTTTGTCTACCATTATACAATCACCAAGAACTTGACCCCATCATGGAGACGGCCAGCCAGCGTCCATTCTGCAACAAATTTATTCATGGAGGCGTTATGGGGGCTTTTTCCCCTAAAAATACATTAAGTGGCCACTCAGAGTGTGGTCACGGCTGCCAATTGCCCATCCATGGCTTCGAGCACAAGTGTCATATTCAAGGCCTGGGGGTCAGATCTGGTCCACCACATCATTTTATATGACCTGCAAAAGCAAATTATGTGCATCGACTTCATGTTTCTTGATAAAATACAAAAATTGGAAATTGTCTTTTTTTTTTAATGCTGACATATTTCAAGTATTTTTTTGTTCCCAATCCCCCTTTTAAAATAAATGTAATGTCAACAATTATTACTGACGCCTGAATTCAAAACTAGTTGTTCACCAGTTTTGTTGTGTGTACAGTATGTAATATGAGGCGATCCTACAATTTGGTTTCCTAGTCATACTAGCCCTCTGAAGGAAACCATAACTATGATTTGGCCTCTGACAAAAATGAGTTTGACATCCCTGGCTTAGAGGCTCAGTGCCTATATCGGCCGATTGATGCTTGATCTGGTAGCAGGCAAAGAGGAAGACAAAAGTGGACATTTACACATGTAGTGAGGGACAGTAGTGGCAAGAGCAGAAGATGCAGAGGTCAGGGAGAGAAGGAGGACGACGCTCCTCAAGTCAGCCTGGAGTAGACAGACAGTGACACTTTACCTCCTGCGTTTCCTCTGCAACCGCTTTCAGCCTGGTCTGGATCTGTTTGAATCTGGTCTCCAGCTCACATCTCATCTCACTCTCTGCGCTAATCTCAGAAAGCTGCAAGGCCAACCAAATGAGAAGGAAAAGAGGACGAATGTAGAAAAAAGCCAAAGTACAGGACACCCACCTGGTCTCCATCGTGGGGCTGGTAGGGAAAGCGAAGGGGCAAACAGAAGGTGACGTGATGGTCCTGCAGGAGGGCGTCCCGGTCCCGGCCCTGGTCTAGCACGGAGACCGAGCGCTGAAGATGTTGCAGGCCCGAATTCATGTTGTGCTGGAGCTGGTGCCGACTGGACAGATAAGCCTGCATCACTCGGCCCAAAGATAAGTGCCCGCCTCCGCGGACTGTGGGGGGGGGGGGGGGGGGGCACAGCATGTCAAAGACCCGTCACATGCTTCTACCACGACATCATTTGGAGAACAACACAACGACTAAAGCTAGCTATCTCCATTTTGCATTGCAGATGGCTGCATATTGAAAAAAAAAGCACATTGTTTCACAGAAGTTGAGAGTTGAAAAGAAGGCAAAGTTTAGAAGTGCAGACCCACATCAATGAGAGTCGAGATGTCTTGGAGGTAGTACTTGTTCATGGAAGCGTTCGCCGCCGCCAAATTGAGCAGGTAATCATTTCTGGCCTTGGTGCACTTCAAGTAAATGTCTTGGACTTTTCCTTGCCTCTACAAGTACACAGAAGAAAAAAAAATCACTTTCACGCATGCATTCAAAAATGTGTACTGTTGCTGGAACAATGACTTTCATCCAGTGTTAGTTTTCATGGAAATGCAGGTCACGAACAAGTGCGGCACACTGTGAGCGTGAGGAAAACATACGTCTGATGCACGCTGTAATACTCTTGACAGCGCTGACCTGCTACGCCTGATCACTTTCATGGGCCTTCGGTTCAATTTCACAAGCAATACATTTCACTTGGGCTTTTGATGCTTATGTGGGTGCTAAAATGATGTTACCAGCTTGGATTGTGAAGAGTTCACAGAAAGTTTCTGATAAGGCTTGAACGACTGACTATTTTAATAAACAGCTTTTTATAGGTTCTGGTTCCTTATTCGACGGGAACAAAAGCTCCTCTTCTGTTTTGTCACAAGAGCTCATTGCTGTGAACTAGCCTTGGGATTTTATTCCACTCTGTGAGGTACATAACGACGGTAGATTCCTGGACATTGATTAAAAATCATTTGGTCCAGATAAATTACAGCCTTATTTTCTTCACCGTGCCATTAATTTGATTCTCTTTACTGCAACATATATTTTCCATCTGTCCTTGTCAACTAATACCTGATGACCACAAAATAGAGTGGGGTAGGGAGATGGGTGGACTACACTTCGGGTAGGTGTTCACCTTCTCAATGAGCCTTTCCAGTTTCTTTGCACTCTGCCTCTGCTTTTCCTCCTGTTTCTCCGCCTCCTTTAACTTCCCGTCCGCACACAGGTAGTCGGCGTGGTAGTGGGAATATGTCCGCCATGCCTGCACCAGAGATGCATGAGTCATTGCTTGGTTCGATAAAACACAAAATTGCTTTGAGCCCTTGGGTTTCTCACGCACAGTTTGAAGCTCTGTGGTCACCTTGAGCAGGCCGTCCTGAAGCTGAGTGCATATGTCTTTACTCTGGAAGCCAAGCAAAAATGCATATGGAAAGCCCTTTCAGCATTTATTCATTTCCAACAAAGGCGTCAAATTGCCCATGCACTAGTCTGCTCTTTGTCTTTGCTAGTATGAAAATTCAGCACACTAGGAGAACAACAGTGTCTACTAGTCATGTGATTTCCTAGATATAGCCTATTAGTAAGCAATTCGATCTTACTAGTAAATTGCCGTGCCACACTGACAAAAGAACAAGAACCAACTAATAGGCATTTGTCATGCACGAATAGTTTCCTGAGAGGATATTAAATACATTCTCAAATGGCTGGGGACAACTACTGCATCTTCCAATCATAACCCAGCAGGTGTCCAGATCGCACATAAAATAGATAAACAGTTGCTCCTATGGACATTAAACACACATAAACGCACGCGCACACGCAGACACACACACACACACACACACACACACACACACACACACACACACACACACTTTGAGTACCTTCTTGGCCAGCCTCTGTGTGTACTCCAGGCAATGGTAGAGAGGCTGGATGAGGAAAGTGGAGCAGTTGTCACTCAGCTGGGTGTGATCTTTACTTTCTTGCCGCGTGTGTGACAGTAAGGCCAACCACATTTGGGCCACAGAATGATTGCTTGCCTCTTTCCTGTAACCGAAAACACGGATAGAGTACACATATGATCATTTCTAGGTACACTATCCAAACGGCAACATCACTTCCTAGCTAAACCATTAAAAATAAAAATAAAAATAAAAAAAATAAAAAAATGAAAAATTATTCCGGCCTCTTTGTAACCATCAGCTCCTGGTTGGGGCGGCATGTTAGACAAACATTTATCAAGTGCACCTCACAGTTCTGAGGTTCCAGGTTCGAATACGGGCGGTGGGCTTCCTGTGTGGAGTTTGCTTGTCCTCTCAGTGCTCAAGTGCCTTTTTCCTCTCACAGTCCAAAAACAGTGAAGAATTGAAATTGTCCATAGGTGTGAATGTGACATTGTGCCCCAATAGTGAGTGACAAAACGGCGCTGACGAGCTACCTCTTGATGCGGTTGGTGAACCTCTCGGCCAGTTTGTCCAGGGATCGTGAGTACTCGCTCTCGATCTCGCTTCGTCGCCGCATGTAGTCGGCAAAGTCATGCAGATGTTGGCTCTTCTGCTCCAGTTGCACGTCCATAACTTTCAGTTGGTCCACCAGCTGACAGCGAACCTCTTGCAAGGGACAAGGGGAATCAAATAATACTACAGGCAACCACGCTTTGCAACAGTGATATGTTCCAAACTCACCAGCAATAAAGAGAAAAAAAAAAACAATTAAAATGCTTTTCTCCCACCACCACGCTTTATACACACTTAAAAATGTTAAAACACAAAAGTATTACTTAGCACCTGATCTCACTCTATCTCTGTCAAGTCAAGGGAGACTCACTGTACTGCCAATGTCAAGCCCAAAAAAAGGTTTTGTGTTTTACCCTTAATTTGTGTGTCATAGTCCACCAGGCCAACCTTGTCCTTCCTGAGCTTCCCATGGGAAGCCATGTTTGCCCCAACTAGGTAGACTTCTGTGGAGCAAAGTGAGAATTTAAAACTTTGGTGATTTGTAAATCAAACAGCTCAGAAGTAGAGGAGGTTTAAAAAAAACAGAAAATAATGAAAGTTGTGAAATACTTCATGAATCTAATTTTTTTTTTAATGATTGACTACTTTCCAAATAATGTCATAATTTGTCTTAATTGATCCCAAAATTAATATTTAATACAAATAAAGTACCCTTGTTCATCAATCTGTTTGATACCATTTTTGTCCATCCAGACAGATACCAATACTCTTGAGTACAAACCGATACAGATACTACTACTTGTGATACATAAAATGTCTACTAAACCAATGTCAGATCATTTTAAAGACCTCTCGTTTATTTTTGACAAAAGGAATCTAAGTTTAAAATAAAAGAGAAACAACTCACCCTGAGTTAGAATTCATTGGTAATAAATTAATAAACATGCAAAATAGAACTGACAACTCACAGAGTATTAGTCTTTGTTCAAAATAAATTGAAGTGCAAAATAATACACAGCTGGGTGAAACAACTGAAAAATGTGTCATCCATCAACTGATGTTGATAATTACAGATTTTTTTAGCTTATTCAAAATAATTAGAAATAATCAATTGGTTGGGAAACACCATCCAAGAAACTTGGATCCTGAATTTTCTTGTTTTTCACTTCAGATTTCTTGTCTCTGTGATGATACAGTTTTTGTTGTTTTTCTGTGATGGCCCATCCAAATAGATGTCCTAAAGCTCACACTCCTTGAAGCACGTGGCCATGCTGCAAAACACTTTTGCCCACCGTAACATGAATAGTCTAAAAGCTGTAACTGGACATTTAAGATAAGAGCTCAGTTATATGAAGGAAGATGTTTTTTTTTTGTTTTGTTTTACTTAAGTGATTGTGTTAAAAAGAGGAAGAGTGCTGTTTTCTTCTATGACCAACACACACACACACACACACACACACACACACACACACACACACACACACGCACTTCCTCATTTTGAAAAGTCACACATGACACTTCAACATTCTCTTCTGCTGAAATGCAGTGATGGCGCTTCCATCGGAAACTTCAATTCAAACCAAGCAGCCTGCCACAAGTAAGGGCAACACACAAAACCCAAACCACAACACCAGCATAATGAAACCAAGCAGCCTGTTTTTTTTTCTTTTCAACCTCACTCACCTTCTACCAATTTGTGCTACTTTCGTTTCTTGTACGCTTTCCCACCACCTTCGACTACAACCAGATTAAAAAATAAATAAATTCACCTATCTCTTGACCCTCCTCTCGTAGGTGGAACCACGGAAGCTACCATCCCGCCACAAACAAAAAACTAAGATGATGAATAAATAAAGACTGAATTTATCAAATAATTGAGGTAAACAGAGCCGATTTGCTAGTAGGGCGCCCCCATCAGGGAGATTCCCCTATCCCGACCCGTCACTGCACTGGATGTTCAATAGTTGTGTCGTTGATGTGGACCATCATCAACCGTATGTCAGGGCCCCTACTAGGCAGCAACAGCTACTAGTAAGGGGGGCCCCGTGCGAGAGGATCAAGGATACTTGTCATTGCATTGTCATTGATATCAGCTCATGTCAGCTGTGTGTCAGAGACCCCTTAACTCCTTCGTTGCCTGCCCTGGTTTTGGCCCAATGGCCTACATTTCTCCTCAACACGTTTGGACAGCTTTGCCACGCTATCATAACAAACAAACAAACAAATAAATAATCAAATACTTTCGCGGCGACTTGTGAGATGTCTCAACCGTGTTCGCCTTCAACTATTCAAGAAGTTGCCTTGGACCCATAGGCGGCCATGTGACGCCCGTAAAACCAACAAACCACTCATTGGCTGACTCACAAACTGCTGGTGATAAGCCAGGAGAAGACGGCAACACATGCAAGGCCAAGGGCCCAAAGTTTGACTTAAAAAGCTGAAATAACTTTTCAAACAAGAGCGTTTAAGTGAGGGCGTGTGTCTGCGTCCTACCTGAGGAGGAGCAGGATTGACTCGTCTAATGTGTTGGTATTGTGAGAGTGCAGCAGGCAGAGTAACGCCACTTAGCTCTCACCTCCCCCTCACATTGGACACGCATAAAAGTGGGTGGGGTGCAATGTAACTCATCACACTCTCTCTCGCTCTCTCTCACTCACTCTCTCTCTCTCGCTCGCTCTCGCTCTCAGCGCTCAACTGCGCGTGACTCACGGTGCACCCTTTCGTCATATTTACACGTGTGCACTCGGGAAGTGTCTGGGTGCCATCGGAGACCGTTGGGGGCCAACATTTCCCCTGCACGAGTTAAACTTTGAAAACACACGCACTGATTAATGGTCAGCATTGAAAGCAGCTGCTGGAGGTTTTCGAAACGGGTACACTGAAGAAGTGGACATCGGCACGTTAAATTACATTTCATTCTTAGAGGGACAGATTATTTGCAAATTAAGTTTATTCATTTATTCACATTTCTGACATGATGCTGACCATGGGAACTCTCTGCACCTTCTGTTTATGTTTGAAACGTTAAATTATTAATAAACATACACTGAAAGACAACTTCAGAGTTGTTAATTTTGACATCAATATTTCCCCTTTCACTGAAAATGAATATCAGCTCAAAGTATCGATGATCTGTCCCATTAATCAGTATCTCCAAAAAATACCTAAAAAAGTGTATATAGTGCACACAAAAGGAAGATTAATCATTGAATGTCGAGTATTTGAATAGCGTTTTGTGTCAACTAATTCATGCGTGATCGGCCAAGTGTGTTTGCGCTCGTGTGTGTACACACACACATATATATATATATATACACACACACACACACACACATTGTTGACTATGCACTCTGTGTTGCGTCCCAAAATGAGAGGTCACGATGGCACTTTTGATGTTTATGGTTGCTATCTCGTGATCCTTCTTAAAAAAAAAAAAAGAAAGAAATGCTGCTTTGTTGGCATCACATACACAAGTCAACAACTGTGTACTCTTAAGTGCCATGAACAAGTTATTTTCCATTTCTTATGGCCCAAATCCAACTCCCTGGACATTCTGTCATGAACTTCTCACTCACATACTTCCTTCCTCTAAAGTGGATAATGTTGCATAATCGGAAAAAAAAAACAGCCAGCAATTTGAAAAAGGTGTGTGATTTGGGGAAGTAGAATATTTTTCCATGATTCTGTGACTTTAGTAGATGAAAGCTAGCAAAGCCTGCAGTATTAAAGGAGACGCTTATGTTTCTTAACATATCTGTGACATGCCTTGATCCAAATACCCCAAGGATCAAGAATTCTTGACGTATTTTTTACTGCATATTGATTAAATTGGCTGGTTTTAGGAGTATTCAATATTGCATTTATTATTTTATCTTATTTTAGAGGATCCATTCTCCATTACTGGTTTAAAACTCCACCTCTTCGCTATTTTTATGCACAGGGGAAAGCCTTGGTCTCGTGTACAAGTTTGCTTCAGCACCATCTGATGGCCTCTTGGTGCCACTGAACTATGTTGATGTTCAATGATGTGCTTTGCTGCCATCTTGTGGCACCTATAGGCAATCACAAAACGTTTTCGTGGGGGAGGGGGGCTCACTCTTTTTCACTATTCGAAAGTAGGATCTGCTTCTGTCCATTTCCAATAGCCCATTTGAAAATGAAAAAAGGCGAGTTCGTGGAGCTTTTGGGAACCTATCTTCCATTACTTGTTGCAAGAAGAAATCAATTTGCTGCTTTTGTGCTCAGAAACACCAAAGCGGCCACAAGATGACACCAATGCACCTTCATGGTGCCTGTGAACTATGTTGGCAGCAGCTTCAAAAAGTCTAACAGCATTATAACAATTTTTAAAGAACTGGCTGCAGCACAGTACAAGGTCTTCAATTCCCGATATGTTTATTATAATTATTGCGCTAGTAGTGGCATCAAACTGTACTATACTATAAATGTATTTTAACACATTTATTAGCATCAGTGTGTTCAATGGGCAGACCAAAGTGTACAGCAAACAAAAGAAAACTGGTGCATCCAGTGTTCTTCATCGCATTATGATTGAGAGAATATTGTCAAGTTGGGGATGGGGGGGATAAAAAGGCTGTTTAGGTTTTTCACTCTTCATTAAAAACAAAAACAAAAAAGCCTACGAGCGTCATTGCGAATCAGAGGAGGAATCTTTGACATCCGTGCTCTCGGTGGCCTCGCTGACTTCACTCAATTCTTTGCTGTCTCCACCGCTGTCTCGTTCATTTTCTCTCTCTGGGTCACCGGAACCGGAAGGCGCCTCCTGACCTGGCACGCGGGAGCCAGGCTTTCTCAGCTAAGGGATGCAACAGTCACAATCCAAATCACAATCACAGTTAAATTCTACACTCACCCTTGACAGCAAGTACAGTGAACCACCACTATTTTGCGGTAAATTGTTAACGCTCCTGCTAAACTGCAGATTTTTAAACCATCTTCTCCCCCGCCCAAACAGTATTTAGTGCAGAGCAGCCTGAATTTAGACATGTGCCTTCAGCGTAGTGTCACATTGTACCATATTCATGCTGGGCAGCACTGAGCTCCACTGGATGGATGCTGTGTGTGTGTTAAGGTAGCAGTTTCTTTAACATTTATACCGATTATGATGATAATAATAATAAGTAATACTGTAATTTATTAAGTAATATTTATGGATTAAGGATTAGGTTTGGCAACATCTGATTTTTTTCTCAAGGTTCATAGTTATAAATTACAACGCATGGTAAAATCCATAGTGTGCGAGCTTTTATAACAAAAACATTTAAATATCTCAAAAATGTGATGTGCTTTAAAAAGTCTTGACTTTTTTTCTAGGTAAAGGTTTACTGTTGACGAGTGTAATGGATTAAACGTACCCTGTAGGACCTATTTTAAATAAAAAAAGTTTTCTACACAGTTGATCAATTATCAATCAATTTGATAATTGATTAGTTGTCAATTAATCTTTGAGTCTCTAATCTTGTGATTTTTTTTTATTTTTATAACTCATTCACTCCCAAAGACGTTTTTAAACGTCTTTTCAGACTTGGTCTAGAAATGGCTGGTACTGAATGAGTTAATAAAATGATTGCTTTGGTATACCTCATCTGCCATGTGGGCCAGGTCCCTTTTCATGGCATAGGCATCCTCCCCGTCTGCGTAGTACTTAGGTTCTACTTCACTGATCCTGCGCAGGAAGAAGAAACCTGGCTCACTTCCAGGCTATTTTCTCCATGAAACAGATGAGTGGGTCATGCATTCCATTGCTTGAGTTTATGAACTACACCAGTACATTCAGGAAAAAAGTTGAATTTTGGCAACTTTCTGGTTGTTGAATTGCACATGGGCTCAAAAATAAATAGGGGAACTGTACAACTAATATTTAGAAGTTAAGAAGCCTTAAAAGGTGAAACATCCTCAAAAACCCAAGATGAATCCCGCTGCCAATGTTTTTTTCTTCTCGGATTTCCATCAAGTTGATGGAAAGAGACTTACTGGAACTTGAGTGTGTTTGAGTAGAGATGGAGGGCTGCTCGGTTACTGTAGTGAGGACAACAGAATGGTTAGAAAACACGGCACAGGCAACCCGAAGTCTTGGATGAAGGACGTGCGGTACCTTTTGCGGACATGAAGCGAGACATATTTGGCATTGAAGTTCTCAATCATGGCGCGGCTGGCCTGGTCCATCAGTTTCTGAGCCAGACCCAGACGTCGATGGGAGCGCTTTACCGCCTGGGAGACATTCAAGGCCACTGTTTATTGTTTGATGTGTACACAGTTGTCTTCAGGTTTGAACTCTTTAGCAACTAACCGTTTGTCTACATGTGTCGTGATCGGGTGGTCTGTGTTCAAATATCTGCAGCTTAAAATGTTAAACACCATCACAGAGATGCTATTTGATAGCTTATGTATGGCATTTTGCACTGTGTGTTAGCATCTAGCCAGCAGACATTCTAAGGCCAACTTCACACCGCAATTCAGTTCTGATTTTCTTTTTCACGGAATTTGCCGCGAATTTGAACTCTCTCCGCAAAATTGAAAGTAGTCTGCAGAAATAAGGCCAAGGTGCAGAACATGTTTGTAGCTGGTCATTTCAGTTTTTTTTTTTTTTTAAGTGACTGCGGAAAATCAACTTTCACACTGCAAAATCAAGATTTGCTCTCCTCAGAATCAGGACCGTTCACCCCAGAATCAACAGTTGCGTTTGATGCTTATAACGTGTTTATAACAAATCTCCGATGCATGAATAGGAACTATGTCACCTGAACGGTACAATGTAATTTCAGGTGACTTTAGTGCATCAAGCTCATGCTCAGACATACCAGGGATGTGATGTGTCCATGAGGCACATCATCTGGGTCTTCCTCCCTTTAAAAAAAAAAAAAAGTCATCCTATTAACACTGAAGGTTATTCACCTTGCTGGCAATGTTATGTATAAGGCACTTACATTTTTGCCAGCACGTAACCCACTATTTTGCCATTCTCATCCTCTGCGATGTACGATAACTGAAACACAGGAAACAAGCGAGTCAAAAATACAAAAGGAAAAGTGTAAAAAGAAGACAAAAGGTGGGCAACCTGGGGCCAGGACAATCCATGGTAAAAGTAGTATTTCATTTGGTAGTTTTCTGGCAGACACAGGAGGTTACAGTGCTGCATATTCATAAGATCCTCGGGCTGAAATCAAACATGAGAGACAATTCCATTGAAATTTTAATTCAAACAAGCAGAACAAAAACCAAATGACTGTAACAAAAATTGACAATGTAGATTTTGTGCCATACCAAAACCGTGTAATTGCAGACCAAAATTACAAATCACCTACTAACGTACTTGTTCATAGTCTGAACGTGTATTTTTTAAGTAAAGGAGTCAAATCAGTACTTCTGCTTTTACCAGTCTATTTTGCACAAGTATCTGTACTCTACATTAGCTCATAGTGTGAGTACTTTGTCCACCTCTGCATAAAAATGCATACAAAATACAGACATGAGAAAAGACGTCCCGCCTCCGACAGAACATACTGTAACTAATGTATGCACAACGTACAAACAAAAACAACTCCTAAAGTACAGTAATGGCCACAATGCTAATGCAGTTAGCAGCAGCAGCACGTTTAGTCTGCTAGGTGATGCGGCTAACTGAGGTAACCCTCTATGTAAGCGGCATTCGAGCAACATGCTTACCCTGGCGTTTCGTATATTCATCTTGTTTAGTTTCCCGTGTGCGTTAGCTAGATGACAGCACTCAAACAATTCATAGCAATGACTATACCACGACTTTTAATAGCCAGTCAAGCTAACTAGTCGATTGGCTGGCTAGCAAAGTAAAGGAAGAAAGAGGCTGTGAACTTTTGTCATATTAGTAACAGCCCGTTCCGGTGAATGACTGAGAGGACGCTTCACAATAAAAGCTTTAAAGCCCACAAATATCAAGCTGAGAAACGTAAAGTTATTTTAGTTTGAAAAGCTATGTTTCATCTAATTTTTATTAACTCTATACGAAAAATAATTTAGCGTTTCCGGAGTATCGTTTGATTTTTGGCACGACACGACACGACTTTAATTGCTCCACGGGGATAAATAAAGTTTTCTAAATCTGAATCTGAATAAAGCGGCTTTGGTTGTTTGTATCATGCATTCTGCGATCGTGACCTCTCTATTCTCTCCTTTTTCATCTATAACCGCTTCTTACAAGAATGCGTACTTAGATTGTTACGATTGTATTATTTTCGATGTTTTTATGTTACGTGTTATGTTGTATTGTTGTTATTTTGTGTATATTTGTGTAAATGTTCTGGAAAGCGCCTTTTTACGGCTTTTGTGAAAGCGCTATATGAATAAATGTGTATTTAATTGCATAAAACACACAAATGTTAAAGCAGTAATACATATAGATATCGATATACTGTATAGATATTATGGAATTTAAATCTACACTAATAATGTTATAACTACGGGGCCCCTAAAGTGACATGGAGGGGGAAAAAACCTTTGCGTTCCCTCGCCAAGGTTGGATTCCCTCGCAAAGTTTTTTTCCTCCCATGTCACCTTACGGGCTCCGTACCTTCGGGGCTCCGTACATCAGATGCCGGGGATAACGGGTGTCTCGCGGCCAGGCGCTGCTACTACCTGCAAAATTCCTCAAACAATTGCCAAAAGATGACAAAGTATGGTGACAAGGCCTTAATAAAAAGCTCCCCCAAGAGAACAATTTGAAGTGATTTCAATGCCACCAGATGGTGCCAAAGTAATACTGCCGTTGTTATGACGGGAGCACAACGACGAGTTATTCATGCACGGATCCAGTTTTTTTTCTATCCTACTGATTATGTTGAAATACCCCCAGCCCCGGTGTAGTGGAGTTCTACAGATAGGTAGGTACCCCCCCCCCAAAAAAAAATGCAGGGGTTCACTGAATAATGGGGAGAAGGGAATGAGATGAATGAACGATTGTCTTTTGATGTATCTGAATTTTTGTTCACAAGTCTATTTGAGCGTGGACTTTATTTTATTGAATACAGATGTAATATAAAAGAACGATACAAAACATAGGTGGAAGCAGTCTAAATAGGTATTTTCAAATACACGAAAATATATTTGATCAGTGCATATTTCCGGTAACCATCTGATGACGTGTACTTTGCACTCACGTCACTTTCGGTGCATGCGCACTGACGTGGTAGCCGTGCTTTGCTGATGTGGACTAGTGGCTTTCCTTTTCTTTTTCCCCGGGCCGCAGTCACTGAACAGCAGCCCTTCCGTAGAACTCTTCTAGAGCAACCCTTAACCTCTCAACGCGTAAAGCCCCCAAAGCTACAATGATCCGGATAGCTGCCGCATTCCTCATTCTGCTGGTGGTTGCATGCTCGGGTAAGATAGATTAGAGACGACTTGGGGGAGACATAGCTTTCCAAATGCTATGAGGAGCTAGTTTGGTAATGAGCTTCGACTGGAACTCGATGTTTCAATGAAAATCCGTCTGAGCATTTATTTCATAGTCTTTATATCTGGCTTAGTGTTCATGCACTAGTCCGCTCCGCTCTTGGTCCCATCTAATAAGGCAATTTTAATTTAGAATACTAGTAGAGAACCGCATGGTACTTGTGAGGCAAAACTGTCCATCCAAGCTATGAGCACTACTACCGGTAGGTAGGTACATTGTACATCACAAAACACGAGTTAACATCTAGCGCTACACTAGTAGTACTAGGAGTGCATTCGTTTCAACTAGTACAGGTTTACCATAATAGAATAGTACTTCTTCTACTAGTATGCTGACTTGAGGACAAAGAGTATATTTGTCCAGATATAAAGGTACAGTATTGGAATAAACACAAGATACGGAATATCCACGTTTCCAATTTGAAGTGGATGCTTGTTACTATGGCAACCGCTGTCAGATGTTGACATACACCATACATACAGGAGAGAGCTGCACGGAGCCGGCCATTACCCCATCAGCCTACACCACCTCGGACGCTGTCATCTCCGCAGAGTCTGTGTTCATCGTGGAGCTTAGCTTGGTTTGTGCCAATGGAGCTCAGGTAAGTTCTCAAGGCAACATACGGAGGTCAAGCCTTGGTTAACCATTAACAGATGTTAACCATTGATAATTACTGCTTACCATTGATAACAGTCCCTGAAGATTGCCAACCATTGCTAGTAGAAGCTATTGCTAACCATTGGTAACAATAACCACAGTTAACCATTGTGGCTCTTTGCAGAGCGTTACTCTGTATGCTGATGTGAATGGAAGACAGTTTCCTGTGACCAGAGGCCAGGATGTAGGCAAGTATCAGGTAGGCCTTGGAGACTTTACACGTTTTTAACATTCAATTCGATTTGATTTCTATAATGCCAATTGACTATGTGCACCAGTACGGTGACAGATTTCAGATTTTGCCAGTGATCGTCAAATTATCTTCGTTATTTTCTTGTTCCATTCAAAATGAACAGACAGAACAACTCTCACACCGTTGTTGCCAAGAAAATTAGGAAATATGATTTGAGGGATACGTTGTTGTTCCTTAGCACACTAAGGTCAGTAGCAGACACAAGGATCCACTGGTATTAGTAACAAATGCCATATTGTTGTTGTTTCTTCCCTTCTGACACCCCACTTACCCTCTGAACACAAATATTCTCAAATAGGATTCCCCAGAGTTCAGAAGCCAGTGGTCATAATTAATGATATGGAAAGTGAGTTTACACCGTTCTCAACACAACTGTATTTATAGAGCACTTTAAAACAGCCATCGCTGTATACAAAATGCTGCACATGAAGGAACTATCATATATAGAACAATAAAGCAATAAACCTGTAACAAAGAAGTTAATGTATTATTTTTTCTTTTGTGCTGTCAAACTGTCAACGCCATAACGACATCACTGCTGGTTGTTCCAAGGTAGTCAATATAAATACACTAACAACAATAAAATAGCTTATACTAATACTGCTCTGTCTTAATTGACATTTAGTAAGTACTGTAGCCTACTCGCCATCTGAGAGCTGTATGTTTTTCCTTCTAATCAACTGTAACATGGCTTTGACTTGATCTTAGGTGTCCTGGAGTCTTCCTCACAAGCAGGCCAGTTCAGGAACTTACCAAGTCAAGTTCTTTGATGAGGAGTCCTACAGTGCACTGCGCAAGGTGAGCGCCAGATGCTAAGCTATTTGAGTCATTTAGCTTTTTTGTCTGGAATGAGAATTTATGGGTTTTGTAGGCGCAGAGAAACAATGAAGACGTAAACGCCATCCAGCCTCTATTCTCGGTCAAAGTGGACCACAGGGTGAGTCTCGTGTCCCTGTAGTTAACTTATTTTCCCTTCACCAACATCTATATAAGCAGTGGGCAAACCTAAAATGTATGTTTAAATTGCAGTTCTCTCAAAAAGTTATTCGGTTTTTGGGTGAAATTTAAGGATGAACCGAAAAATGACTCTCACTTTTACAGGTGAACTTGAGTTGACTTCATGTAACACAGTTAAAGTTGCTCCTCAAAGAAAGTCAATGAGTTGCAAAACTGCTCCGGAAAGCAAAATATATACATATATATACAGTATATTGAGTAGTGGTTATAAAGGGATTTTTTGACAGTACGTTTTGTCCATGTTGTCATATGGCTGATGGATTGTGGCCATGGTCCGACTACGGACTGATTGTGGAATCTTGCATAGCTTTTACTGGTGTAACAAAACAAAAAAAAGAAAGAAAAGAAAAACAAGCCCGAATTGAATGACAAATATATTTTGACTCATGAGACGTGAGTGCATCGAATTGTCCATCTTTTAAATGAAAGTTAGCAGGGCGTTGACTGTGGTCGTGTCATTGTGACTTCAGGGTGTGTGGAGCGGTCCGTGGGTTTCCACCGAGGTGGTGGCAGCCCTCTTGGGAATCCTACTCTACTACGTGGCCTTCAGCGCCAAGAACACCATCCAAGCGTAAACACCCAAACTTGGATCTTTAGAGACTGAATACAGGCGCAAATATCTGCTTTGGATTCAGAGACGGTCAGCAGTCTGGAGGATTTTTTTTTGTTTCTTTATTTTTCTATTCAGACTGTGTCTGTATGTGCTCTCAGATGGACTCTGCATCAGTTATTTTTCTTACTCTCAGGCTGCCAAGCTGGACTGCTTGGTAAGCTGACATGTAAATCAATAAAGGAGTGCTTTTGGTCTTCCAGTCTACAGTAATTCATTTCTTCTCACTTTAAATACTGCACTTGGATTGGCAGATATCCCATATGTATCAAATTTTATAATGGGATTTTTATTATTCTTGCATTTCATTTTGTTACCACTATGTTCTGACATACTGTTACCAATAGGCATTGCTCCCCTATTATCCTGGTTTGGTCTATTTATTTTTGAACTTCCTTCCAATGAAATTTACTGTCAAACCAAATCACAGGAATCGAAATGGCTTCTCTCGCAAAGATGCGGGCAGTGAACTAGTTGAAGTTGATGTACAAAAGGTGAGCGGTAGACCATGTAAGGAGTTCGAGATTGTGAATTAGCGCCAGGATTCCAAACTAACCACATTAGTGTGCTATGAGAGGTCATCAGGTGTGCCGCGGGAAATGATCTAATTTCACTTCAATGGTCCCCAAATTATTAACTACAGAAAAGGTTAATAATCAGCGTTGCTATTAATACAGGATGCAAGATCTCACCTGGATGCTTGACTTTGAAGTTTTTATTAAGAAATGAGTCAGTAAAAAATGGAAATGGCTTCCAGGTGACATGCTCACGTCTCCTCCATAGTGTCACATAATCCAAACTCACATGTTTCACAAAGGTTCTCCTCCAGGAACTGGCCCAGACAGCCATTAGTGCCACACACGCAGGGCACTTCCTGTTGTTGGGCCAGCGATACCGTATGTGCGTCGGAAGAATAGTTCCATGTCAGTTCAGTGCCTGCCTTCACCACACTAACACACAAACCCACACATATACTTTTTCAGGCCCCTCAATGTTCAGATTGCACCTGCATTGCTTGCTCTCTTCTCACCTGTTGGTGAAGAAGGCGATGATGGGGAAATCAGGGTCATGTGAGTCAGTGAAGACGTTCTGAATGAACAGGTTTGGCTGGCAACTGTGCTGCAGGAGATGAGAAAAGACAGAAATGGTCATTTTCCAAGGTGCTGTGTACTTTTGGGAAAAGGGTCACGCAAGGAAGAAAGAAATATGAAAAAGAGGTACCATGAGAAAGGAATTTAGACAATTACGCTGTGGGTGAAAAAAAAGTTGCTTTGTCCACTGCCACTTAACTGCTGCCAATTTATTTTCGAGGGCCCCCTAAAGTGGTTATGTTTCTTTCTTCGGGCACCCCTTTATAAAGAACCGTGGAGGTAAAAAAAAAAAAATCCCACAAAAACCTTAAGAGCCACTCACGCGGGAGAGTAGAGAGAGAGAGAGAGAGCGAGAGAGAGAATGAAACATAAATGTGCAAAATGTGACATACCTGTACATTCAAATACTGGTAACAAACACAATTATATCTGACAAGGATTAACAATCCATATATATGTTAATTATTTTTCCTGCCACTGGATATTTGTGTTGCATATATTAATTGTAGTACATTTTATGGTATATTCTATACAAAATATGTATTTTATGAAGAAATGAGGCAACAATATTAGAATATTGCCATTAATTTCATGCAATTTCAAACTGTTTTTTGGGGAAATATAGCCAGACCGCGAATAGTGATAATCCATGTATAATTGACATCCATTGAAATGCATTTTGAGGATTATTTTTTACATTATATATATATTCTTTTTAAATTAATCAACTAATTAATCCATAATATATTCGATATAAAAATTGGCATTGGCCTCACAAAAATCCCCATGAGGTTGGGCCCTAGTTTGTGTTAAGACTATTTAAATAACATTTTGTTCTAGCTAAATGACACCATTGTATAAATTTGTTGCTACTGCAGGTCTTTTATGATTTTCCATCTTTGTCTTTGTTTTATTGAAGTTGTGGTCCACTTACATTGAGGAAGCGGCTCACGTTTCCTTCCTTTCTGGCGTCCAGCAAATACATGTCCTCTGAGTTGACGACCATCTTCAAGTTCTTTTTATTGCCTTTGCCATCAGCATTGTTTGGTGACGCCAAAACCTTCTTCACCTTATCTTTGTTTGGATTTGCGTTGGCATCGGTGGGTCTCTGGATGACTGGAACATGCAGTGGTGGAGAAGTTGGGGGGTCAGGGTTTTCCAACAAGTTGCTCCCCTCCAGTACGGAGGGTGCCAGCCACTCTGTGACCACCTCCACCTCGTCATCCGATGGCAGGTCCACTCTAGTCACTTTCGGGGGCGGAGGCTCAACGGGTCGCTGGACCTTCTGCAGTATCACGCCTGGAGATGTCACAAAACATGTACTTGTACATTGAAGCCTGGAAATTTAGATTCGGAAAAAAATATTTGGACCCAAAGCGCAGAACTGTCATGCGCTTTTGAGCATCTGGGACTTAGCATTCCCGTCTTAACACAACACGTGATGGATAATGTGAAAGGCCATTAAAAATGGAAATAAAAATGGCAAAATCCCAAAGCGCACCATGTTTCTGACAAACGGCAGTAACATCGTGTTCACGTAGCCTAAGAAGTGTTGTTTGTGTCACCTGCATATATACACACAAAGGTCCCCGCATCCAAGTCATCACGACTGCGCACACCCCAGCCACAACGCTCCGTCCAAAAAACTTGAAGACGGACTCTGATTCCTCTCTGGATGAGACGATTCTGACAAAGAGCCCGATCGCAGCTGCACCAAGGCCCGCACTCATACAACCTGTCGTTAAAAAGAACAGAAGGAAAGCCTTTACTGGCATTCATGTAGCTGATACAGGACAACAAAAATGGGGTACAACTTGAAGAAAAAAAAATTGGTGTTAATACTACGCTGTATAAAAATGTAATAAGGGCAAGACTAAAATATTTAGTGCAGGGGTGCAAATAATTAGTTTTAATAATTTATTACCGGGTAATCTGTTGATAATTTTGTCAATTAATCAATGAATTGGATTAAACAACCATTTTTAAATTTCTATCTCGTTATTTAAAAACAGGACATTATTTCATGAATAGTGCAGAAAAAATAATTCTGTTACTGGTTTGGTACCTAACGTCAAAAAAATAGGCAATAAGGTAGCAATCAAATGTTTTAATTTGATTCAGCAGTGTGCTATCGGAGAGGACAACATAATTCTGAGAATATTTACTGCTGGAAAACTGAAATGTTGACTGATGGTCTTTTTATGGTCAACTCACCCGGACGTCACAGAGTGGGAGAGTCTCTGATAGTTGTAATGGTTGCCTGCTCCAGTCTTGGCGATGCAGGCGCAGCGTTGTGCGTCCAAGCATCCATCTGTACACTCACAACAAGCGTCAAAAACGGGACCCCGGGTCAGGAAGCAGCCATGCGGCCAGCGCTCCTTCCTGTAGCGGAATTCAGATGGCCGGGAATCACCGGGCCCCACACACAGCTCCACTGGGGTCGGTTCAGATCCACGACTCAGGTCGATCTCAGGGGGCTGGCTGACTCGCACTGAATGAGGGTCCAATTGCACCACGTTGTTGAAGGAAAAATAGTCCAGCTGGAGGAAACAGCAAGACGGATTAATTGAAAGTCCATCAAGCAAAAAAAGTTTTGGTGGCTCTTAGAAAAGGGGTTCCCGACCAAACACATTAATATACCGTGGGAAATTGTCCGGTTCCATTCATTTGTTTGTTTTTGAGGAGAAAAAACAAGACAATCCATGTCAACAAGAATTCAAAAATTCTGCACATTCAAACATAAAAAAACAACATCAAGGCAAAAGAGTAATTAGTACATTAGCAATAACAAAATAAGTTTCGTATGTGCTGATGAAAAAAGGAGTGGGAAGAAGAAAACTTCCGATCCCCATCTCACATTTACATAACATGTCAGACAACTTTCACTATCTGATAGAGTTACATTGGTACAAAGTCCTACTAATGTACATAACATATAGTATTAACATTAGGAAATCGGATGTATAATAGACATAGTACATATCTAAACGATAGCCTGCATAATTTAGAGTGCAGTATACTTGAACAATAATTACGTACCAACAACGGTAATGGAAGTGGAATACTGTATCTACACTACATCACTACAGTAGAGGACTCAGCACTGACCCCTGAAGGACACAGAAGCAACACCAACTTCATCCATTTTTACAAATTATGTTCATTCTGATAAGTAACGATACAACCGCTATCCCTCTGATCTCATATTTCTCCAATTTGGGTCGAAGCGAGTGATTTATGCTTTTTTTCCCCATTTCATCGGTCCCAAAATTATTATATATCTACAATAATATCATGTATCTCCACCTATACTAGCTACATATAGCCACAGACAGAGCAATAAAACGCTCTTCCACAACATAGCAGAAGTTGGCACAATAAAGTTTGTGCAACACTATGTTAGAGGAAATATTATCAACTCACAACCACCATTGCTGCGTGGATGTGCCATACAAAGGATCTGACCTGGAGTACATCGTAGCTTTCTGTGGCCAATAGGAAGCGCATCACATCCTCATAGTTACGGAGGCTATGCCCACAGGGAGCTTTGTAAATGACACCCCAGTGGCTTTCATCTTCCTCCTCATCTTGGCCATCTTTCTGCTGATCATTGCTGGCCACGCCCCCACTGGATAACATCAGTGGCCTGGCAACCATCCGCTTGAAACCACACAGCAGCGGGACCTTGAGAGGGTTCTGAGCCCAATATAGCAGGGTGGAGTTATGCGTGCCTTGTAAAGAAGGCAAGCACGTCTAGAAGAGGAAGAGCAGCTTCAGAACAGGAAGTGAAGATTGGTGGTCGAGCTTGACCTTACCTTGCAGCACGAGTGCAGCTTACATGGCAGCTGAATGGGCAGCAGCTGATCATCAATGGCTGATGAAGAAGGTGTGGGCGTGGGGCTGTGGTCGTCTGGCTTATAACCTGAGCAGGTAAACAAAATCAGGAGTTCATTTGAAATCATTAACCTTTACATACTGTTAATTTTTTCATGCACACATGGTACATTCCGGGCAAAGAATATCCTTTTAATAATCGTCTATCAAATGATGAACTACAGAACATTTCAAAATGTATTCTAAGGCTATTATAATATCTTGCTTCACAATTTTTTACATTGTATTTTTTATTGTCTGTACAGTGTCCTTGGGTGGCATGAAAGGCGCTTTTAAATTAAATGCATTATTATTATTATTATTATTATTTGATATTAATCAATGAACAATTACACCCTATTCTATGTTTCAGGGGAAAGGTCAAATGTTATTTTGTCTTTGTTTTACACCACTTGTTTTGGGTAAAAACATCTACGGTACTATCAAATGTGTTATTGTATATCATTTTGGAAAATCAAATCAAATATGTTTGTCTGCTCCAAGCCGAAATGTCAGGTTGTGTTCTTCATTTGCTAATGGCTTTCTTTTTTTATAGCTCTTCCTCAAACAAAGCGACATTTTGTTCATTAATAAATGCTACACCTGTGCAAATGTGATGGAAACCAAAAGTTTATTGGACTGCTTCAAGCTCCCCCTTGAATTCTGAAAACTATCTCATAAAAAACACACACATTAATGCTATGTCAAGTTTAATATTACCACCACTGTCACTATTGAATCAAATCACACAGGTTGATTTGAAATTGCTTTGTAACATTTTGAAACATTTTGTAGTGCCCATATGAAAGAATGACATTTTTAATATTTATATTTTGAGTAAGGGCAGCCTGGTGGTCCAGTGGTTAGCGCGTCGACCTCACAGTGTAGAGTAGTGATGGCAAAATGAAGCCCCATAAAGCAGTGAAACCCTGCAGGGAAATACTTCACACACGCTTCGGGGCTTCAAGATGAATCATTTCCTCGACGACACCATCATGTGGACAGGAAAATGTATAACATGCTTGGTGCATGCAATAAGCAAATCATGCTCTTAACACATAATAATATGTATTTGAGGAGTGTTTTAACATGAATTGTTCTGTGTTACTTTGTCTATGTTTGTGCTTATGCAACATGTGAAAATGTGAAATAAGGAGGTAAAATAAAATGTTTATTCGTTTTTATTTAAAAACAATATTTTACCCAGTTTTTGGACTCAGGCGTTTCTTTTTTTGCAGAGAATTTCACCTGCTTTTGAACAAGCTCTTTCACATGGTACTGTACTGATGAAGCAGGGGTGCATAGATATGTGATAGCAAGTTGGTATGAAGGGGAATCCATAGCGTTTCTTTGCCGCTTTTATTTCGAACAACACTCGAACCTATCCTATCATTTCCTGAATCAGTCACGTGGTACACCCCCTTTGCGGGGCTTCAAACGTCACCACTGACGTCATCAACACGCGCTTCGACTCCCCATTCATGAACCACTCATCTAGATTACTCGGCACACACTTCAGGGATTCGACCCGTGGAGCACATCACTAGTGTAGAGGTACCAGGTTAGATCTTCCTGTGTGGAGTTTGCATGTTTTCCCTGTGCCTGCGTGGGTTTTCTCCGGGTTCTCCGGTTTCCTCCCACATTCCAAAAACATGCATGGCAGCCTGATTGAACATTCTAAATCGCAGGTGTCAAACTCCGGTCCGGGAGGGCCACTGTCCTGCATGTTTTCCAAGTCTCTCAGTTGTAACACACCTGATTCAAATGATCAGATCATCAGCAAGCTCTGCGGAATCCTGACATTTAACCTGTTCATTTGAAGGCCCTCCAGAACCTGAGTTTGACACAGTTGCTCTAAATCGTCCCTAGGTGTGAGTGTGATCGCGGTTGGTTGTTCGGTTGTGTGCCCTGCGATTGGCTGGCAACCGGTTCAGGGTGTCCCCCGCCTACTGCCCGAAGACGGCTGGGATAGGCTCCAGCACGCCCCGCGACCCTTGTGAGGATAAAGTGGTTCAAAAAATGGATGGAAGGATGGATATATTTTGAGTACTGTAATTTGGGCCACTTTAGAAAAAGCAATAAGTCTTACGGCGAAAGAATGACATTTGTTGTATTGTCATTGCTTTTAAAAACGGTTGAAATTTGACACGAAGAGTATGCAAGGATTCAGTGACTTACCTGCACTAACAGCCACCTGAACAACCGGAGTGTCGCCCACAGGAGACAGAGCTGTCAACCCCAGACAGTCGAACGACTTCAAAGCCTGGACACGTTCTAATGGAACAGATGCAAACATCAGTCAAGAAACTAAATGCCAGCAGCGATAAACAGATTGAGAAAACCTTTGTCGGTTGCCGTGTTGGTCCTCAGGACTTCCCTGAGGTGATCCAGCCGCTTGAACATGACACCAAACACCTGATCCACATTCTTCTTGGCCCAGAAAACTTTGGCCCGATCTATGAAACACAGAAACGCGTATACTGTAAAAGTAGCTTTTCTTTAAATAAATCGGTCAAACCAAAGTCTTTCACAGGTTAAAAAAAAAGATTACGTTTCAAATAAAACGTACACAACTGGTTATTTTCAACCAAAATCTCACCAACATCTTGACGATCGAACGAATCCCCCATCTGAATTCCAGGCGAATGACTTAATAATTAATTTAAACACTAATAAAAGTCAATTTGCTTAGCTAAGTTAGGTTAGCAGGCACTCTTCGCCTGGGAAGCATTAGCTGCGACAATGATTACATCAATGAAAGTCAAATGCGATCATCGAGTAAAATAGCCGCGAAACTTATATTGCTGTCTTTGCTTCAATGTAACGGTTTGCCGGTAACATTGCTGCTTCAAAGGTCAATCCTGTATATGATGGATTAGCATTCAGTTTCTTCCTCAAACGCAAGACGCCGGCCTGCGAAATGTATGGAAAATGTTCCCTCATTTTGTCTGGCAGGCATAACGTTTGGCGTTCGATGTCATTTTGTATTGGGCAAAACAAAAAGTTTTTACACTCAATTTGGAAAAAGTGATATTTCTACACCAAGCCACTAAAGATACAAATAATTACAAAATCCATAATCGTAAAATAATTGTGTAACCCAACTTCAATACCTGCTCAAAGTGTCTAATTGTGTTATTTTATTTGTCTCGCGATTTATGTTATTTCAGTTATCTTTTTTAATCTACACGACTCTATTGTTGGATGGCTGTTCAAATAACACCACGTTTATATCAGTTGCGCAACTATCCCGCGAATATCTTTTGCCTGCAAGGACAAAAACGGTAATATAACTAAATTAATCAGCCACCGTAGCAATTGGAGTACTGTACTGTATAGACAATTTTCCTCACGGTTCACGTATCTATCAACAATTGTAGTGATCGAGGTTGTCTACTGCTTAGTCTGGAGAATCTGTACTACGATGTTTGGTTTTCTTTAGCACACTAATTCTGTTAACAATCCTTCTCGTATATGATTAGCTACTTCCGGTTTTCTTTTGTAACAGGTATACGCCAAGTTACGCAAGTTTTACTTGACGCAAAGGACAGAGTGTCTATGAAAGGTAATCAATTTAGACATTTATTTATGTGATTACGCGTGACACACGTTTTTATATATAATCCATCCTTTCTCTCTACCGCTTATCCTCACAAGGGCCGTCTAATGTATAAAATATTAATAACAATTGAAAAATGCGTACTTAGTCAAAATTTTCTCAAAAATTTTGAATTCACAATTTAAGACAAACAAAAAATGCATGTTTTCGTTAATTTAACACAGCACAGAATATTATTTTGCATTTAAGTAATGAGAGTGAGCAGTTTCCCATGAAAAGGTATTAGAGATTAGATATTTGACGATACAGTGTACCTGAATTTCGAAAAATGTGAAAGCTGTGCTCACTTTTGTGAAATACTGTAAACGAATTTATGGCCTGGATTCAGCACTATGCAGGAGTGGGTCTCCACCTGTACTCACTGAAATAAACCTATCTGCAGAAAGATGTTCTTTTAAAAAATGTTCGATAGGAATTGATGTATTTTATACTCCATTTACTGTCAGAGTACAGTTTACTGGTTCTGACTCTCTGCTGTTATGATGAATGAAGTTCTGAAAGAGTTGCATTGTGGTAGATGACGACGGTGTGGCGGTCAGTGAGTGAGGCATTATGGGCAATGTGTGCCGCCGACGCCATGTCCATGCCCGTTCACTGGTACTATAACATCCATGACATCAAGAGGGATTTTGGAGGGTGGATATCTGGCTTCAATTCGCCCAGAATCAAACACCCCAGCAGCATCCTCAGTCTGTCCAACACTGGTGAGGATCGGTATTCTTTTTTCCAAGTGTTTATTGCCGATTTTCTTCAAAAATATGATTAATTGTGTGTTGTGATGAAGCTGGCAGTGGCCGCACTTCCTGGTCATCTGCTGCCAACCAAGTGGAGGTGGTGGGTAACATCATCCTTCATGACAAACTGAGCTTATGGAAATCTCCCAGTGGCTCCGTCCACTATCACCAAGGTACTGTCTGTTGGTCGCACATAATTATGGGTGGTAAAAGCCCATATTCGCCTATGGCATCACACTAAACAAAGCCTGACATGTTCTTTGACCAAAGCTGAGCCGAAGGGGAACTAGCTGGAGTACTGATTTTGACCTCTTCTCTGCCAGTGCAGTTTGAACTGTGTGACCTCACAGTCAAAAGTAAGGGAGATGAACACACACGATAACGCCGACCTGACGTGATGGAAATAGTTAACAAGATCATTGAGGAACTGGCTCAGACTTTTGATGTGCTGAAGAATTGATGCTAGCTACTAAGCAAACCATAATGTTTTGCTAATTCCTTCCACAAACCCAGTGGTGGAGGTTTGGTTCCCACTCTGTCCATTAAGCAGTGGCAACTCGGGGTGCAACAACTTCACATATTTTGTAGTCGACCCCAGGTGATGAAAGTTGAGTTGGTCTAATTATGTGATGACATGAATTATGATCATACATATTTTATCAACTTGCTGTGCACACTTGCAAACACTTGCTTGCGCACTCACTTCTCCGCCATTCCCAGTTGCACAGACCCCACCCCTTGACTCGTTCATCCAATCGCCAGTTTAGGATAGCGGGAGTCAATTACCTTCCTACCAGCTGGAAGTATCCCCCTAATTGTTTACAAACATTGTGAATTGGTCTATGGCTTCCATATTTGTATAATTAGGAGTTCCATCCTAAATCCCGCTTGCGTGGTATCTTAAAGGTCTGAAGGCAGGTAACAACACGCTGAATGTCGTATGCGCCCTCCGAGCCGCTCACACGCTGGCCAGCGCTGACTTTGCTGACATCTCGCATCCTGATGCCCGAGCCGCTGTCCTCGCAGACTACGTTCATTTCTTGACCACACCTGGGAGCCACGGCGACACCTATGCCGAGTCCTACCATCGATCCTTCTTTTCTGAATGGCAGGACAGCAGGCCGACTTCGGGGCAGGAGGTACAAAATCTGCTCTCTGGGGTTTTCTGAGCTGGGGCAGAAGGCACAGACAACACATTGGACTATTCACCAGTCAATTGCAGGGCAGCTGAAAATGAGAGAGAATGACTTCATCAGCTATGTAAATCGTCACACTAGCAATGTTCCTAAACCTTCGTTCTCTTTGATGAAGATTCTAAGGTTTGCAGAGGAGCGCTCCAAGAATAAGCTAAAGTCACTCCCGGACAGCCAATTGGATGCAATCGGGTGCCTTACTACGAGCCTTCCATTTATTCTGCTCTCGGCCTCAACCAATGAGGAGCAAGCTGTGAGTACCACATTCAATGGGAAGAAAGCACCACATTGTCACACGTACATCTGAGGGGCAAAAGCTCCGATGATACCACCAGTGAACAAACCTTCAGCGGTCGTCATTTGCATTCTGTTCCACTGGAAGATGTACCCTGGCGTCTATTGTTTATAAACATGAACTCTCTACAGAACATGACTTGATGCTTGGATTTTCCGTTGTGACCTCTGATTCACCAGGTCTGTGCGGCGGTTGAATTTGTGAAGCTTTCCCACCCCCACCTACGCGTGCCCGAATACGTAGCCATCTACAGCAGGGCACTTCATGCTGTGCTGGGGGGTGCCGGCGTCCGTCAGCAGGCCGAGCTCGCCCTCAGGAAGCTAGGAGTGTGGGACACCTCCGAGAAGTTCAGTCGGCAAGCTGCAATGTGTGCACCTACAACCACACGACACGTTTCGATGTGTTTTTGCCTCACACCTCTATGTCCGGCTTGTATTTCATTTGATGATTTGAATTACAGTACATTTGTTATTTTGTTTAGGTTTCCGGAGAGGTCTGAAGAACGACTGCATGTCCATCAGAGTGCTGTCAGTAGCCTCGGCCTGGCGTGCTACACAAAAGGTGCCAGTGAACCACTGCTGATTACCGTATTGGCCCGAATATAAGACGGCCCTGATTATAAGACGACCCCCTCTTTTTCAAAACTCACGTTTGAAAAAAATACTTTTTGAACACCAAATAAATTTTTATACAGAAAATAATTACAGTACATCTGAAACAAATGATGATCAGAATATATTTGAGAGAAAAAGCATGTTATTTTGCCTCATTAAAATATAAAGTGCAATCACATTCGTAAATGAATGGCTTCTGGTTTTTGAAATGTAAATGACATCATAACTTCTCCTCAGCTGCCAGTTAACCAGGCCGATCTTTGACCCACTTTTCTCCAGATTGTCACTACGTTTCTCCATTTTCTGTTATCTCTTCTATTATTTTCTTCTCTTTTCTTTCTTACCGCTATTTTTATTTTTATTCTTCGTGACAGGGGTTCACTTTGGCCTGGGGAGTCAAGTTCAGCATTCGCTTCAATGATATCTGGCGCCATCTAGCGTCGTGAATGGGTATAATGTCTAGACCCCTAATATAAGACGAATCCCACTTTTTTAGTCTTATTTCAATGCAAAAAACACCTTCTTATATGCAGGCCAATACGGTATTTTCTTCATGTCTTTCTTTTTGTAATTTATGAATTTTTTGGGGATCCTCCAGGAGCTCTTTCCAGCATGTTTTACCTTGCTCACCAGTTTCATGATGACCCTACAGCAGGAATCCTGGCCAACACCAACTGCGGAGGTCTGAACGCAAGATTTCGAGTCATTTTGACCAACTTGAATGCAATCTTACTGGCTGAATCACATTCTGACAATTATGTGATCAGATTCACGTAGTTCCATGATTAAATAGATGAAATTCCTGCTCATTTTCAGGAGAGAACTGTAACCGAGGAGCTGCACTGGGGGCCCTGCTCGGAGCGGGAGGATCGTACAGCAAGTCCACCATCCCACAGGACTGGAAGGACCAATTAAGGGACGCTCAGGACTATATCCCAGACATACGCAAATGTTTGCAGTACTGACAATCTCCAGTATGACACCAATCCAAAGAAACCAAGACAGCAGTTTAGTTTGCCCATTCCCATTTCATCTTCTGCTTTACAAACGTAAGGATCTGATTAGACTCTTTCGTTGAAATTTGATTTGACTGGAAGCACTGCAAACAGACATTCTCATTGAAGTCCTGAGTGAATTAAAAAAATGTCAATAATTAATGAGAAAGCATTTTGTTTGTGTCTCCGATCCCATTGATTGAATTGTTGATGCAGTGACCTAAACAGATTTGAGGAAAACTGTTGGCTCCAAAGTCCAAAGAGACAAAACCAACAAAGCGGAGCCGTATTTGGGCAGTTTATGCATGGCAATGTTCACGTGTTTTCAAGTCCATTTGTGACCCTTGTCCTGATCAGAATAAAAATGGCGACAACAAGCAGACACACTAAGCCGCTCTTCTTTCTCGGGCTTCTCTTGGCTTCTATCCCAGCATGCAATGGGCTCCCTGAAGGTCAGTCCTCTGCGTTCTCAACCAGTTCAACTCTCATTTATCTTTGTCCTGTTTTGATCCTTGATCGACAAACATGGTCGAATCTTAAGTTCGAGATCATGTTAGTGTTCAACGGCGTAGTGTTGGATGTCACATTTGTGACGTTGGCATTAGCTAACAGCATTATTTCCACGGATGAGTACAAGGTGTACCCCGCCTCTTCCCTGAGGTCACTTCTGATCCTGCTTGCTTTTAACCTGAAATCAGATTAGCACAACAGTAAATAACATGGATGTTTAGCAGAGGTGCGGTACTTCAGTCAGAAGATTCGGAACACATATCAAATCTTAAATTCACAATTTTAGGACATGGCTAGACTTGACTCGGTCGTTCTGAAACTCAATTTATACTTGAAACACACGACTCGATAGGCCTTGCCTGTTTATGTTTCAAACATATTTCTGAGGTCATTTGTTTTGTTTGTGAAAGAAGTGTTATTTTCAACCCAGCATTATGTTAGAATGCGGAGTGCAGAGGTCACCTCATGAAGCAAGTACTGTATCGGGGAGGGAATTTTATTACTGTTGGATTCAACGATTAGGTTTCAGATCACAATGAAGAAAGAATGGCAACATGGAAGAGTTGCAATTGAAAGAGAAGAAACTAAACACCAATGGCATCTAACTGCTGTTTATCCGTCACTCAAACCCACCCAGATTTTTAAATGATGTTAACTCCACAGCTGGTCAAACATGAAGTAAAGTTCATGTCAGGTGTGCATTGAATTAAGATGACAAGTAATAGCCCATTACAGAGACTGGGTTGGGACCATTCAAAAATGTAAAATGTAAATGCACAGCAAACGAATGCAAGTTTGAGCAACGTGTCTTATCCATCCATCCATTTTCTGATCGCAGCGGGGGACACCCTGAATCAGTTGCCAAGCCAATCGCAGGGCACACAGAAACTTACAACCATTCGTGCCCACACTCACACCTCGGGACAATTTCGAGTGTTCAATTAACCTGCCATGCATGTTTTTGGAATTTGGGAGGAAACCGGAGTACCCGCAGAAAACCCACACAGGCACGGGGAGAACATGCAAACTCCACACAGGATGGCCGCAGCGCGAATCGAACCCTGCACCTCTGCACTGTGAGGTTGACATGCTCACCACTCGACACCGGGCCGCCCCAAAGTGTGAAAATATATCGTGTGACTGCACGGTTTTCATGACTTGACGTATTACTCGCTAAATCCAAGTCACGACTGACTTGGTTGACATTAAGCGGGCACTCCAATTGACTTGCTTGTATTATCCCTCAGTAACTATTGGTCAAGACTGTACTTATGACTAGTACATATGTGACTTACTCCACCTCCGAATGACAGCATCGAGGTTCTTGAATGGATTCAAGAAAAGGGGACTTTAGGTGTTTCTGGCCTGCTGCCACTATCCCGCGTGGTAAATCTCTGTTTGAAACAGGAATGTTTTTGGGGAGACCCGACGCAAGCGTTTTCCTCCATCGAACCCGTCGAGCGAACTACTTCTGGGAGGAGCTAAAACAAGGCAACCTGGAGCGGGAATGTCTCGAAGAGAAATGCTCATATGAGGAAGCCAAGGAGATCTTTGCCCTGCCACAGCAACTGGTCAGTGTATGACCGTCAGCAGATGGTTTTGTCCAATTGCCTGTTTTCACTCATGTGCCACACTTGCTTTGCAGGAGGTTTTCTGGAGAATGTACACAGGTAAGTCTGTATGAATGTAGCTAGCAAGGCTGCTTTTGAGAAGCTCAATTTCCTGCCAAGAAACAGACAACGTGAGCTGACTCTTCGACACAGCGTGTTGCGTATGACAAGAAAGGAGCGTGGTAGAGGGCAATCACAAAGGGAAGTGTGTGTGTGTGTGTGTGTTTCTAGCCGAGGATCACTGCCTGTCATCTCCCTGTAAGAATGGCGGCACTTGCACTCGTAAGATCAACACTTTTGTCTGCCAGTGTACGTCTGGATTCCACGGCTCGACTTGTGACAAAGGCAAGGCCCGCATGGCACCGGCATGATTGCTTCGTGACGGACATTATGCAAATGTATGATTTGACACGGGTCTATTTCTTTGTAGCGCGTCTGACCTCCAACGGATGTCGCTATAGGAATGGAGGATGTGAACATTTCTGCAAAGAGTTTCCCAACCGGACACATACTTGTTTCTGCGCTACTGGATACCGTTTGGATCAGGACAACAGTACCTGTAGTCCACAAGGTCAGAGCAGATTCTTAACGTTGCTTTAAGGTCATTGGAGATCTGGGCTATAAATTGGGCGGCGCCCTATGCTCTGTCCTAGTCACCGTCCCCTGTGGACGACCACTGGTCCACTTTGGCCCGAGAGTTGTCAACGGAGAGATTTGTCCCAAAGGACATTGTCCCTGGCAGGTGAGATTAATTCTTCAGATTCTGACAACCTTATAGAGGTTCAGACAAATGAATGATGCTAAAAATAACGACTTGCTGTTCAGGCTCTCTTGACTGAGAATCACCAACAAATCTGCGGTGGCATCGTTCTATCCGATCAGTGGATACTGACTGCTGCTCACTGCGTGTGGAAGAAACAAAACAGCGTCTTACATGTCATCGTGGGTAAGACGATCAATGAAAGAAGTAAGCTTGGAGCCCCTCGCTCACAAAATGTCATCTTTTTTTGCCTCTTTTTGCTTCTCTGAAGGAGAGCATGACCTTGAGACGGATGAAAAGACGGAACAGAAGCGCAGAGTGTCGAAAGTCCTGATCCACCGTGGTTATAACCACTCTAGCTATGACAGCGACCTGGCCTTGCTGAAGCTCCACCGTCCCATCAAACTGGGACTCTACGTCATACCTATTTGTCTCCCGGCTAAGAACAGCTCGTTCACCCGCACGCTAGCGGCCATCCGACACAACACAGTGTCAGGGTGGGGTCGTCTGTCACTGCACGGTTCCACGGCAAGATTGCTCCAGCGCCTGGCACTACCACGGGTCCCGCTGCAGGAGTGTCGCCTGCATACCAAACTCAACATCACCCGAAACATGCTCTGTGCCGGCCTACAAAGGGGTGGGCAGGATGCATGCAAGGGTGACAGTGGTGGCCCTCTCGTGACTCGCTACAAGAAAACTTGGTTTTTGACCGGTGTGGTGAGCTGGGGGAACGGCTGCGCTGACAACAACATGTACGGCATTTACACCAAAGTCAGCAACTTCCTCGACTGGATCCAACATCAAATGACCAGATGGTAAAGCAAGAAGACTGGAATTTGCCAACTGACAACTTGATAATTGGTTTCCACTGGTAACTTTTGTTTCAATAAACCAAACAAAACAAATAAACAAACAAACATCTTTTCTCTGCTGGTAGTCAACTTTTTTGCACTATTTTTGTCGAGCTAAAAAAAAAAAATGCTAAAAAGTAGTGCTAGTGCTAGTGCTAGTGGTGGGAGATCAGTGCCAGGAAAGCATTGGCCTAAACACGATCAGGCACACTGACCTACATTTAACAACCGGGCTGAAATCAAATATTTGTCCAGTGAAATTGTATTTTGTATTACATTTTCTTCATATTGCAGCATTTCTCTTAGTTGCACTGCCTTCTGGACATGAATGCAAGTTAGATTTATTTACAAACCCAATTCCAATGATATTGGGATGTTGTGTTAAACATAAATAAAAACAGAATAAAAGGATTCGCAAAGCATTTCAATTCATTTTATATTCAATTAAATCCACTCCAAAGACAATCTATTTAATGTTCAAACTGACAAATGTTGTTTTTAGCAAATAATCATTAATTTAGAATTTTGTGGCTTTAACACGTTCCCAAAAAGTTGGGACAGGGTCATGTTTACCACTGTGTTACATCACTTGTTTTTATTTATTTATTTTTTTTAACCAACAAACATTTGGGAACTAAGGACACAAACTATTGAAGCTTTATAGTTGGAATTCTTTCCCATTTTTGCTTGATGTACAACTTCAGCTGTTCAACGGTCTCCACTGTCGTATTTCACGCTTCATCACACGGGCCGCATTTTCAATGGGAGACAGATCTGGACTGCAGGCAGGCCAGTCTCGTACGTGCACTCTTTTAGTACGACGCCACATTGCTCTAACGCACAGAATGTGGTTCGGCATTGTCTTGCTGAAGTAAGCAGTGGTGTCCGTGAAAACGACGGTTGGATAGCAGCCTATGTTTGTCCACAACCTGTCACCATTAATGGTGCCTTCACAGATGTGTAAGTTACCCATGTCATTGGCACTAATACAGCCCCACACCCTCACAGATGCTGGCTTTTCAATTTTGCTTACATAACAGTCCGGACGGTTATTTTCCTCTTTGGCCGAGAGCCCACTGCGCTGCCCACTTTTAAAACACGTCTTAAAACTCACTTTTATTCTTTGGCTTTTGACTCAGCATGAGACATGATTTTTGGTTTGACTGTTTTTGTGTTTTCTAATCTTTTCATTCTTCATTTATTGTTTGTTGTTGTATGAATTATTTTTGCTCCATGTCCAGCACTTTGCACACAGTGGTGGTTGTCTTTAAGTGCTCTATAGAGTTGCGTTGAGTTGAGAGGTCTGATTGAGAAACATTGTGACTTCCAGTGTTGACACAGCAACAAAAAGCCTTGCGTTTTCCCCAAATTTCCTTTTGAAACCTATGTTTTTACCCACCAAGTCACTGTTGTCATTTAATGATTGGTGAAATTGACAGCTGTCCGAAATGAACCCTCCATTTTTAATAGATTGATAGACTGTGGCAAAGAGGTGTAAAACGCTCACCAGCAGAGGGCATGCAGAAAGTTCTCTAAGCCACATAAAGGAGGCGGAGACTTCTCATCAGGCTCATCAGCATTTGACCAGTGCTGGGGTTAAAGGACTTTAGCCTCATACAGATTAACCAGCGTTCCCATGGCGTCAACAGCGCGCTCGTGTATCTTTGTAAGCGTGCTCATCGTCTTTAGCTCGACATCATTGGCATCAGGTCAGAGAAGGAAAACAAAAGGAACCATGAGTATAATCATGTCATGTCGTGTGATGTCGATGCAGTCCCCGAAGAGGTAGCCACTTCCACTTTTCAAACCTGTAGTTTGCTTGCTTCTCAGTCTTCCGAGATCCAGATGAGGCGCACAGTGTCTTGGTGCGCACCAAGAGATTCAACTCGGGCTGGCTGGAGGAGCTGCAGAAGGGTGATCTGAAGAGAGAGTGTCTGGAGGAGAAGTGCTCATATGAGGAAGCCCGTGAGGTGTTTGAGCACCAAGAGGCCACGGTTGGCATGTGCCGCTCATTTTGCACCAACTTCAAATTCATCTCTAACTTGGTGTTGATTCAGTTATCAATCGCTTTGTGTTTCCTCAGGACGAATTCTGGAAGACATACAGCAGTAAGCAGAATAAATACTTCTCGAGCAACTTGAAATTGTTGAAACAAGATTCTTTTTGAACAATTTGTTGTGACGACAACAGTTTTAGAGGTAGAAAATGCATGAAAATGATGACAAAATCATTTGTTTGTTTGGTCAGAATGAAAAACCGAGATAATATGCATGCTTGTTAAGTGTCCAATTACTCATAAATCACAACCAAAACAATGGTGAAACACAGTGCTGTTTTTAGCATGAGTGTGAATAATTGTACAAAGGTTTACATTTACTATGCTGCTATTATGTCCATAGGAGTTGAATTACTTATACAAACATTCCCATTGGATGGCGTCGTTCCTCCTAATGTGTGTGTTACACCCTTAACAGCCTTTGAAGCAAATCGGCATGTTGCACGGTATTTTCTCGTTTTGACTTATTATGCACAAGTGACTTCATCAAGTGGCATCCCGCAGTTCCAGACAGCTGTGAGTCAAGTCCCTGCTTGAACGGGGGGAGCTGTTTGGTCCTGCCGGCGTCTTACAACTGCTTGTGTCCACCGCCCTTCAGTGGCCTCAACTGCGAGCTTGGTAAGGTTACCTCACATGTGTCTTTTACAAAGATAACTTCAATCCTGTTGTGTTCTGTAGACGACCACGTCCGGCCAGAGACATGTTTGCTAGAAAATGGAGGCTGTGAGCACTTCTGTGATCAAGACGAGAGAGGAGAACGAGTCAACTGCTCATGTGCGGATGGATACTTTCTGAATGCTGATGGCCAGAGCTGCATGCCCAAAGGTGACCTTAGAATTATTTGTAGGGGTTAAGTTTGTTGTTATGATGTTTAAAAAAACATATCCAGATATGATCACACACGTAGGACATTTCATGATGTTTTTAAACAATATGTGGTGGATACTTCCAGGAGGCAGACCACAATGAAACCATGACCAAAAAAAACAAAAAAAAGATTTTTTGTGGTTACGCCGCCAGTTATACGGCAAAATGCTTTATTATTTTTTTCATTTCCTTAGTTATTACGAAGGAAAAAAAAATCTAAATTAATTCACCGTGCTTAGTTGGACTATTAAAAAAAGAAAATTGCCAGGTGACATAGTAACAACTTCTGAAGGGACGGACTCGAAACCAAATCACCTCAATTGTGGGGTTTGTTGAAGGCATTTGCTCCCCGGTATGTATAAAATGTTTTGGGGTGACTTTGAGAAGCTACCATTCAGTAGCTTCATAGGTTCTAGTTAAACAGCCAAAGAACCAAAAACCAAACGAACCACTCAAGTATAGGCTAGAGCCGTTTACAAATGATGCTAGTATGCTAGCAAGGTTACCAAGGTTAAGGGTTATTGCCATCTATTGCCATCTTCTGAATTATCTCCAGAAATCCAGTGGTCGTGTTCACCATGTCTGGCTTTCCACCACAACTATTTTTGAATCAAGTGACCGGCTGAAATGTAAATTACAGCTGGTGTGTGGTCTCCCTTTCAGGCAACTTGCTTCGGTTCACATCTTTTGAACAGACATTTTACCCTCTCTCTTTGTTTTGGTCAAATGACATGGAAGAGCTTGTTTGCTAGTGGTGCCAACGTTAAAGTACATATTTCCCTTGCCTCAGACTCAATAACGTGTGGCATGACCCCAGTTCTTCAAGATCCAAACAAAGCCAAGAAGCTTGACCCTCGTGCTCGGATTGTGGGTGGACAAGAGTGTCCCAAAGGCGAATGTCCCTGGCAGGTACTGTATGATGCTTTGAAAAAAAACGTCTCAGTCTCAGAGTCCGCTGCACAGAAGCATTTGCTTCTTGTAGGTACGGTGCACTTAAATGTGTTTTTTGTTGCTTCGTGTAGGTGTTGCTGCTTTATCATGGCAAAGGTTTCTGTGGCGGAATAATCATTAAACCCATGTGGATCCTCACGGCATCTCACTGCCTTGAAGATACTGACGCCCAGTTTTTAAATGTTGTTGCAGGTATAAGTCACTGAACATGTTATTGTCTCTGGCTACGAATCTGTTGCATCATCGTCATTAATGCACCCCGGTTCACGTTCATCCATGTTGTGGCTGCCCCACGTTTTTGTCCCAAGATCTCAACTGTGGTTGACTTTTCCTCTCTCTATGAACATGTGTCATCATTCGCAGAAGTTGACCAAAGTAATGAGGCTAATTTGACAAAGTAAAAGCCGAAAGTTCCAGATATCCCTTTTCAAATGGAGAGACTTAAGTGAAATAAATGAAAGTGCACACCACTGTACTCAAGTACAGATACCTGTTAAACCTAATTAAGTAAAGTGACAAAGAATTTGTTCTCGGTCCCTGACCTCACCACAGTGTCCCAAGTGATGGCTCTCTATCTGCTTTCAATTTGGCAGGCGAGCATAACACCATGGTGGAGGAGGGAACAGAGCAGGTCATCCAGGTGGCTCAAATCCTCATGCACGAGCGCTATGAAAAGAAAACGGCTGACAACGACATCGCCCTGCTGCGATTGGCCTCGCCCGTGGTTTACACGCCATACGCCGTACCGGCCTGCCTGCCCACAAAGTCTTTGGCTGAGCGCGATCTGTGGGCCATCAGCATCCACCCAGTGAGC